GTACAGTTTATTTTATGTCAGTTGTACCCCAGTGAAACTATTTTAAAAATTCCATAGAAGGTTTATGAGAGTAAGTTTTTAAAAAAATCCCAAAATAGAACTAAATGACAAAGAAATGTAAAGTATGAGAGAGGGAGAAAAAGCCAGATAGGCATGTAGAGGATGTACTCCTTTAAAAACATTTATTTTATTGGAGTAGAGTTATGTTGTGTTAATTTATGCCATACAGCAAAGTGATTCAGTTACATATATATATTCTTTTTCATATTCTTTTCCTGGTTTATTACAGAATATTGAATAGTTCCCTGTGCTATACAGTAGGACCTTGTTTATCCATCCTATATCTACTAGTTTGCATCTGCTAATTCCAAACTCCCAGTCCAACCCTCCCCTGCCCGCCCCCCCTCATCTTGGCAACCACAAGTCTGTTCTCTGTGTCTCTGAGTCTGTTTCTGTTTTGTAGATAAGTTCACTTGTGTCGTATTCTATTTTTTTTTTTTTTTTTTGGCCGCACCTTGTGGCTTGTGGGATCTTAGTTCCCTGACCAGGGATTGAACCTGTGTCCTCAGCAGTGAAAGCGTGGAGTCCTAACCACTGGATCACCAAGGAATTCCTATGTGTCGTATTTTAGATTCCACATATAAGTGATATCATATGGTATTTGTCTTTCTCTTTCTGACTTACTTCGCTTAGTATGATAATCTCTAGGTCCATCCATGTTGCTGCAAATGACATTAATTCATTTTTTATGGCTGAGTAATATCCCATTGTATAAATATACCATATCTTCTGTATCCGTTCATCTGTCGATGGACATTTAGGTTGTTTCCATGCCTTGGTTATTGTGAATACTGCTGCTATGAACATTGGGGTGCATGTATCTTTTCAAATTATGGTTTTCTCCAGATATATGCCCAGGAGTGGGATTGCAGGATCATATGGAAACTCTTTTTTAGTTTTTTAAGGAACCTCCATACTGTTCTCCATAGTGGTTGCACCAATTTACATTCCCACCAACAGTGTAGGAGGGTTCCCTTTTCTCCACATCCTCTCCAGGATTTATTATTTGTAGACATTTTGATGATGGCCATTTTGCCTGGTGTGAGGTGATACCTCGTTGTAGTTTTTTTTTTTTTTTTTTGCGGTACACAGGCCTCTCACTGTTGTGGCCTCTCCTGTTGTGGAGCACAGGCTCTGGACGCGCAGGCTCAGCGGCCATGGCTCACGGACCCAGCCACTCCGCGGCATGTGGGATCTTCCCAGACCGGGGCACGAACCCGTGTCCCCTGCATCGGCAGGCGGACTCCCAACCACTGCGCCACCAGGGAAGTCCTATTTGTAGACATTTTGATGATGGCTATTCTGACTGAGGTGATACCTCATTGTAGTTCTGATTTGCATTTCTCTAATCATTATTGATGTTGAGCATCTTTTTGTGTGCCTGTTGTCCATCTGTGTGTCTTCTTTGTATATTTTGGAAATTAAGCCCTTGTCAGTCACGTCATTTGCAATAGATGATGCACTTCTAAGCTTTGGTGTTCTGAAATTTCAACATGATACCTTTTGTTATGGGTGCTTTTTCATTTATCTTTCTCACCATTCAGCGAGCCCTTTCAATCTGAAGAGACATACCTCTCTTTGGTGCTTGGAAGTGTTCTTCTAGCATTCCTCTGATAACATCCTCTGCCAGACTCAGGAGCTGGGCTCAGGTATTTATGGAGATAGAGGTGAGACAGGGAAGGGCATTGTTAGAAATCCCCAGAGCCCCACCTCCATCCCAAACAAAACTGCTCCTACCCATGAGTCCCCCATAAGGGATGGGAAATCAGTTTCTCCAGACTTGAGGACAGCAGGTGCCAGAGGCTGGAGTGAAGGGGAAAACAGTCTCTTCTCTCCCATGTTCTGAATGGTAGTGGCTGAGTTTAAATCACCCCACCCAGAAGATTAGAAAACTATTCCCTGCAGTAACTAAGCTATCCCATAGGAAAGGTCTACACAGCCTAGCAGGTGGGAGTGCCCAGAAAAACATCTGGCTAGCCGCTGAATTGTGGCCCAAAGTGAAGCCACCTGTGGACAAGCCATGCCCACAGAGCTTCTGAACAACCTTTAGGACTTCATTCCTAAATATGGGTAAACAGCCACACATCCTCAAGCATTTGAGGAAAGCCTTCAACACGGAAGAGAAAGTCAACAACAGAGAAAAGTTACTCAACAGAAACATCAGGATGAGAAGATTTTGCCTCCAAAATTCATAAAATAAGAGAGAACTCTTGGAAATGAAAGTTTTGATAGCAGAAATGAAAAACTCAATAGAAAGATGACAAAACAAGATGGATAAGTAAAGCAGAGGATCAGTATAATAGAACTTACAGAAAGAGAAAAGAGAAAATGCAGGGGAGGACATAATCTACGAAATAACACAAGAAAGTTCCCCGGACTGAAAGATACGAGTTTCCAAATTCCAAGGGCAGGTGGAGAGCTCAGTGTAGTGAAATTTAAAGACCCAATTCAAAGCATTTACTCAAGACTTTCAGAGAAAGATAACAAATCATGAATAGAAAATAATGGATTTGTACTATTATCATATTTCTCCAAAGCACAACTAGAAGCTGGAAAACATTGGAGCCTTCAAAATTCTAAGTGCAAATTATTTGAAACTTATAGTCCTATACCCAGCCAAACCATCAACAAACGTGAGTGCAGAATTAAGGTCCTTCTAAACATGTGAAGTCACAAGAAACGTGCCTCTCTGGAAACTACTGAAGTATGTGTTCCACCCAAATGAAGTAAGCCAAGAGAGATGAGACATGGAATCCAGGAAATAGGGGTTTTAACACAAGAGGGAGTTGGGAATTCCCCGGAGGTCCAGTGGTTAGGACTTGGTGCTTTCACTGCCATGGCCCCGAGTTCAATCCCTGGTCAGGGAACTAAGATCCTTCAAGCTGTGCAGTGCAGCCAAAAAGACAAAAACAAAAACAAAACAAAACAACAACAAACCATACACACGAGGGAGTTGAAGGAACTTCCCAGGATGATGGTGGAGGAAGTTCCAGACAGCAGCGATGGGAAAGGACAGAGTGCCCCCAGGAGGAAAATGAAATGAGAAGTTCTTTGACAGACTTTATATGTGGAAGATGAGAAGAACATAACAGTGCTCTTAGATTGTATGGAATGACTTGGGTATATGTTAAAAAGAAATCCAAGTAAATGAAGATTCACAGCAGGAAAAACAACTCAGTTGCAGTGAGAAGCAAACAATAGTGAACAATATTTTCAAAGGCTAATAATGAAAACATACAGTATGGATATAATTTTTTTTAAACTTTAGCCCCATAACTATTGGGAGGATGGGTGAGAGACAGAGAAGGAAGGGCATTGAAATCCACCCTGTCATAATAGGAAGTCAGCTGATTTTTATATAGACGAATCAAGTTACTGGTATTGGCATATTATTTAGAAATATGGAGACAAATTCCAGAACAAGCAGCTTGGAAACATTTCAAGTGCCTCTGGGCTGTGTTTTTTATTTTCTTTTTAAAAATTTATTTCTTTTTGAGATGTAACTGACACAATAAGATGTATACCGTGTTGATTTGATACATTTATATATTGTAATATGATTACCATGGTAGGGTTAGCTATGGGATGTGTTTCTGTGTTTGATATTAGATAAAGTCACAAATATAACCAATTAGGAAACTAAAGTTAGAGAAACGAGTATCCAAATGTGGCAGGAGTGGGGAGAATCTTCCACAACAGCGAGTAAATAGGTAATGTTTGAATGTGACAAATCATGAAATGGCAGTTCAAGGCCATCATTTACAGTTATGAGGTTAATACCAAAACAGCCACATCTGTAAACTTAAAAATGGCCACATCTGTGGAATTTGGGGTGGGGCTACTGCTTTTATTACACACCCTGTTGGAGTAGGTATGAGTCAGTTAACTCTAAAAGGGCCCAGCCCGGGACTTCTTTGGTGGCGCAGTGGTTAAGAATCCACCTGCCAATGCAGAGGACATGGGTTTGAGCCCTGGTCCGGGAAGATCCCACATGCTGTGGAGCAGCTAAGCCCGTGCGCCACAGCTACTGACCCTGCGCTCTAGAGCCCGCAAGCCACGACTACTCAGCCCGTGTGCCACAACTACTGAAGCCCGTGCGCCTAGAGCCTGCGCTCCACAACAAGGGAAGCCACCGCAGTGAGAAGCCCGTGCACCTTAATGAAGAGTGGCCCCAAGCCCGCGCGCAGCAACAAAGACCCAACACAGCAAAAAATAAAATCAATAAAATTAAAAAAACAATAATCATAAATGAGTAAAAGGGCACAGCCCCTCCCCGGGTTTAGGGCAGCAGATAGAGTGTGTGCCGGAGGGCGGAAAAGTTGCCTACCTGTCACCGCCTGCTGCAGGCACCTCACCTGCCCGCCCGTACTCACGCCCCCCTCTTCCTGGAGACCCTCCGCCATCCTGTTTGTTGGAAGTTTTGTTTGTTTTTCACGCTCTTGGGTCTGAGCCTGGGTGTGGATTCCAGTAGAGACCTGGCCTTCTCAGCTCACCTTGGGGTCCTGGACTGGGAGACTTCAGGCTCAGAGCAGAGTGACTTGTCCTGCAGCGGCACGGCAGAGCTGCCCAGTTTACTGACTTCTTACTTTTGGCCGGTTAAACATTGGTGGAGCAAGGGTTAGGGTCAGGGCATGCAGCGCAGCTGCCCGAGGCAGTCCTGGCCCCGCGCTGGGCCCTCATCCTCCTACATCGAAGATGATTCACGTAGCTGACAGCCTCAGTGACTGGGGTCAGGTGGGCTGCTTGCTCCCCTTTTATTTAAACTCCCAATTCTTAAGCAGCACGTGCCTGGGGATGCACGGAGGGGAGGCCACTGCTCCTTCCTCCCGGCTTTTCCTTCCTGGATGGACCTGACAGCATGGAGAGGTTCTGCCCGAGCCGGGCTGGAGGCTGCTGAGGCCGGGGGTTCTGACCGGCAGTGCACTGATTTCTCTGTTCAGAACATGAATGGCTTTGAGGAAGGCGTGGAGTTCCTGCCAGCCAACAACGCCAGGAAGGTGGAGAAGGGCGGCCCGCGGCGGTGGGTGGTGCCGGTAGCCGTGCTGGCTGGCCTCCTGGTGCTGTCCCTCATGGCGGGGCTCCTGGCATGGCACTTTCAGTGTGAGTGGACCCTCCTCCAGGGGCCCTCCCAGGGCCGCCTGCTGTGAGCGGGAGGGAGGGAGGGTGCGGTTTGGGGGGAGGGAAAGGAGGGCTCCTCCCACGGGGAGGTGATGGGGCTCAGGGTCTGCTCTCCCGGGGTGGCTGAGGGCAGCTGTGACAGTGGGGGGACAGGAGGGCGTGTGTCCCTTCCTCTGACCGTCGTCCTTCACTGTTCTCTCACAGACCGGAACGTGCGGGTTCAGAAGGTCTTCAATGGCTACCTGAGGATCACGAACGAGAACTTCCTGGATGCCTATGAGAACTCCAGCTCCACTGAGTTTGCAAACCTGGCCAAGAAGGTGAAGGAAGCGGTGAGTCCCGTCCCTGGGCAGAGCCCAGGCCCTGCTGTCGTCTCTGGCACGCGCACCCTCGCCCAGCAGAAAGGAGGCTCCCCTCTGCTCCCAGATGCCTGGGCTGGTGTGCGATGTGGGCTCCCGGGCACCTGGGAAGGGGCCCCGGGTCCCAGGAGGGAGGGAGCGGCCTGGTTGGGGGCCCGGGGTCATGGGCGCTCTCTGGACCCCCATCAGTCTCCTCTCCTTCCCTCAGCTGAAGCTCTTATACAGCGGGATCCCTGTCCTGGGCCCCTACTACAGGAAGTCAGCTGTGACCGCCTTCAGGTGGGTGCGGGAAGGCCGGCGGAAAGGCACTGCTGTGGTGCAGCGTCTGGGCCCCGCGGAGTGGTGAGGCCGCGAGGTCCTGCCTAGAGAGCCAAGGCCCCAGTCCTTGTCCTGACTTTATCTCCAAAGTACTTTTGCTTTTGCTAGTCTGATTGAATCCCTATGGATGCTGTGTGGCAGGTGGCATTGTCAGCCCCTTTCAAGTTCAGGAAGCAGGCTCTAGAAGCTGTGACTCAGTGTGCCCAAGCTAGAGGTAGAACCCAGACTCCATTCCAGGATTTTTCCCGCTCGTGAGCCTGAGCTGCACTGGCCCCCACAACACAGCACGTCTGCTTGGGCGTGAGGCTGTGAGAGGAAGAGGCCCAGGCCTCGGGCTCAAGGGATCAGCAGGTGGGTGGGCGTACAAGAGCCTGGGGGCCGGCCCGGCCTGGAGAAGGTCTCTTGGTGAGGCCCCTCGGGAGGCTCTTAATCCTGCCCCGTCTTCAGCGGGCACCTGGGAGGGCGTGGGCCCCGGCACCTCAGGCTCGCCCCTCTCTCCCCAGCGAGGGCAGCATCATCGCCTACTACTGGTCGGAGTTCAGCATCCCCCAGTACCTGGTGCAGGAGGCCGAGCAGGCCATGGCGCAGGAACACGTGGTCACGCTGCCGCCCCGAGCCCGCGCCGTGAGCTCCTTCGTGCTGACCTCAGTGGTGGCCTTCCGTGAGTGCAGGGGCGCCGGGGCGGGCATTTGTCTGGCCTGGGGCATCCCGCCAGTGCCCAGGAGAGGAGGCTGCCTGCTGGCCGGCCCCTCCCTTTAGGGCAGTAAGGAAGCAGGAATAAGGAAATAGACACATCAGTAAATGCTTTACTCTCCCTCTTGCTCTTTAGCCACTGACCCCAGAACAGTACAGAGCACCCAGGACAGTAAGTATCCACCCTCCTCCCAAAGGAGAGGCGGGGGGGTATGTGGCCAGATGCCCCTTCAGTCAGGGGGGTCCCCCAGAGTCACATGGTGGTGATGGCCAGCACATCCCTCTGCCTCTCCCGGGCCATGAGAAGCCCCCTTCCCAGTCTCTCCCGGGTCCAGAGCAGCCTGGGACGCCTCCAAGGGGCCAGGCCTGGCTGCCTCTCCACCTCAGGCGGGGGTCCTGGTTGCTCCCCTCGTGGCCCTGCCCAGCTCTGCCCCATATCCTCTTGCCCCACACAGACAGCTGCAGCTTTGCCCTGCACGCCCGTGGCAGCGAGCCGGCCCGCTTCACCACGCCCGGCTTCCCTGACAGCCCCTACCCGTCTCACGCCCGCTGCCAGTGGACCCTGCGGGGGGATGCTGACTCCACACTGAGCCTCACCTTCCGCAGCTTCGATGTCGCGACCTGTGACAAAAGTGGCAGTGACCTGGTCACTGTGTATGACACCCTGAGCCCCGTGGAACCCCGGACTGTGGTGCAGTGAGTGTCCCGGGCGAGTGGAGGTGGGCAGCGGGAGCCTGGCAGCTGCCCGTGATAGGCTGGGCTTCCGGAATGACTGCAGTGGAGGCTGGAGGTTCAGGCTGCTGCCAGCTTGCAGGCAGCAGAGAGCAGGCGTGGCGTGGTCCTCGGCCCGAGCTGCAGGGGAGCATCTCAGAGGCGACTGTCAGCCTTGGCAAGGATGCCGGAGGCCCACAGGTCCCTAGATGCTGGGCGCTCCTTCACCTGTCTTTTACCTGCCGGAGTGGAGGTGCCACATGCTGTTGTATCTCTCTTTCTCTCTCTCTCTCTCTCTCTCTCCCTCCCTCCCTCCTTTCCCTTCTCCCTCCCTCCTCTCCCTTCTTCCTTCCTTCCTTCCTTCCTTTTTTTCTCTCTTTCTTTCCACGAGACTTGTGGGATCTTAGTTCCCCGACCAGGGATTGAACCCAGGCCCTGGCAGTGGATGTGCCGAGTCCTAACCCCTGGACCGCCAGGGAATTCCTCCACCTGCTGTTGTAAATGAAGGTCTCGTCGTTACTTAGCGATAGTGAGGTCAACAGTTGAAAAGATAGTTTGTTACTCACAGTTCCTGAGAGGTGGGGCCACACAGGGCCATATGGGGAAGCACCAGGGTCATCAGGAGGCAGAGGGGGCTGGAGGAAAACGTGGGCAAGAGCCGTTGCTGTAGATTCTCCAGGAAAGGCAAGGCAGGCCAGGGCAGCACCTTTGGACCGGCTGGTTTGAATAACTCCAGCGGGCTCTGGGCCCTAGGGCTGTCTCCAGTCGTCTGGTACCTGGGTGATCAGGGCAGGTGGAGAGTGGCCCGGAGCAGGGGGCCTCCACAGAGAAGGTGTTGGGGTGTGGGCTCTGGATTAGTTAGTCTGCATGTGAAAGTCTCGCCCTAGTCTTTACTGTTTCCAGGGATTGGCTAGCCCTGGGGGGTGGGGCTGCCTTTCCAGGTCAGCAAGCCCCAGGTATCAAAGCATTGGGGTTATAGTAAATAAAAAGGCATAGATAGCAGGTACACACTACTATATATAAAATAGATAAACAAGGACCTCCTGTAGAGCGCAGAGAACTATTTTCAATATCTTGTAATAACCTACAATGGAAAAGTCTGAAAGAGAATATATCTACGTATAACTGAATCACTTTGCCGTACACCTGAAACATTGTAAATCAACTGTACTTCAATCAAGAAAAGGCATACTGCACCTGCTGAGGGTGCCGAGGTGAATCGGAGGCTGCCGGTGGGGGTGACCTGCCTTCACTCGGCTCCCCCTGCCGCTCCCGACTCAGTGGACCAGAGCCTCCCACTGCTGCCTGTGGAAATGAGCCAGGCAGACGTTTCACAGCTAATAAGGGCTAAACTTCAGGCCCAAACCAGGAGGGAGCCATCTGCCGCCACAGCTTCACAGCCAGGACTTCGGTCTAAACACCCTTTTCATGCAGGGTTTCTTTCTGTTTCTCTAACTGATTGACTGTACAACAAATGAATACCTGGTCCTGGGCGGCAGGGTGGAGAACAGACAAGCACGAAGAGGACAGACGCCACTCATAGTCTTCCTATCTGGAAATAATCACTGTTAAATGTGTGTTGCACATTCTTATAGAATTTTTTGCTATGTGTAGGTTTGTGTATTTATTTTTTAAAAAGGGTTATGTGGCACACGTGGTTTTGTTATGTGCTTTGTAAAGATGGCGTATGTTAGGATCATCTTCCCAGGTGAGTAGCGTGTCTCTGACTGTCACTGGTAATGGCTGCAGGCTGTGGCATTGCTTAGTGCACATGACATGCTCTTTGGCCCTGAGGCCTCTGGAGCCTGAGTGCTGAGTCTGAATTTCAGGCCTGCCACATTTTTTTCTTTTTCTTTTTTTTTGGCTGCACCGCACAGCATGTGGGATCTTAGTTCCCCAACCAGGGATTGAACCCATGCCCCCTGCACTGGAAGCACGGAGTCTTAACCACTGGACCACCAGGGAAGTCCCCTGACACTCCCCTGGTGGTCCAGTGAAGTGGACCACCATCTTTTTTTTGAGGGGAGGAGATTTCTTTTCTCCATTTCTTTATTTATTGACTCTTAAATTTAAAAAATTTTTAAACTTTATTTTATTTTTAAATTTTATATTGGAGTATAGTTGATTTACAATGTTGTGTTAGTTTCAGGTGTACAGCAAAGTGATTCAGTTGTACATATACTTATGTCTATTCTTTTTCAGATTCTTTTCCCATATAGGTTATTTCAGAGTATTGAGTAGAGTTCCCTGTGCTCTGCAGCAGGTCCTTGTTGATCATCTATTTCATATAGAGTAGTGTGTATATGTCAATCCCAACCTCTTAATATATCCCTCCTCCCCTTCCCCCTTTGGTAGCCATAAGTTTGTTTTCTATGTATGTGAGTCTGTTTCTGTTTTGTAAATAAGTTCGTTTGTATCATTTTTTTTTTAGATTCCACATATAGGTGATATTGTATGATATTTGTCTTTCTCTTTCTTCACTTAGTATGATAATCTCTAGGTCGATCCATGTTGCTGCAAATGGCATTATTTCATTCCTTTTTATGGTTGAGTAATACCCCATTGTTTATATGTACCACATCTTCTTTATCCATTTATCTGTCAATGGACATTTAGGTTGCTTCCATGTCCTGGCTATTGTAATAGTGCTACTATGAACATTAGGGTGCACATATCTTTTTGAATTATGGTGTTCTCCGGATATATGCCCAGGAGTGGGATTGCTGGATCATATGGCAGCTCTATTTTTAGTTTCTTGAGGAGCCTCCATACTGTTCTCCATAGTGGCTGCACCAGTTTACATTCCCACCAACAGTGTAGGACGATTCCCTTTTCTCCACACCCTCTCCAGCATTTCTTGTTTGTAGACTTTTTGATGATGGCCATTCTGACTGGTGTGAGGTGATACCTCATTGTAGTTTTGATTTGCGTTTCTCTAATAATTATCGATGTTGAGCATCCTTTCATATGCTTTTTGGCCATCTGTATGTCTTCTTTGGAGAAATGTCTATTTAGATCTTCTGCCCATTTTTTGATTGGGTTGTTTGGTTTTTTGATATTGAGCTGCATGAGCTGTTTGTATTTATATATTTTGGAGATTAATCCCTTGTTGGTCGCATCGTTTGCAAATATTTTCTCCCATTCTATGCGTTGTCTTTTCATTTAGTCCTGCCACTTATTAACTGTGCAGTCTTGGGTAAGTTACTTCACCTGTTTTGCCTGTTTCCTTATCTGTAAAATGGGGATAATAGTATTTAATGGTTGTTGTGACGAATACCTGAGTTAATGGGTGCAGAAGCACTAAGGACAGTGCCTGGCGTGTTCCTAGTAAGCGTTGGTAGTTGATGCTGTTACTACTGCTGCTATTATTTGGTCCATAGTGTGTTTAATGAGTCCTCTACTGTTAGGCATTCAGTGTTTCTGAGTTCTTGCTGTTATAAACAGAGACAGTCTTTTGAGGAGATCCTTACTCAGGTGGCTGGTTGCCTGTGTGGGGAGGGCTTTGGGACCCCACCCTCGGCCCCTCTGCTGGGTTCTGTGCTCTCATAACGCCCGCCCTTCTGCCCCGCAGGCTGTGTGGCACATACCCTCCCTCCTACAACCTGACCTTCCTCTCCTCCCAGAACGTCCTGCTCGTCACGCTGGTGACCAACACCGAGCGCCGACACCCCGGCTTCGAGGCCATGGTCTTCCAGTTGCCTCGGATGAGCAGTAAGGGGCAGCCCAGGAGGGGACAAGCCTCAGGACCACATTTGACGCTCAGGCTCTCCTGGTCGTGGAGTGTCTGGTGCCCAGGCAGGAGCTTGAGGGAGGCTGGCCAGCTCCTCAGGGCTCTCGGCCTGCCTGGGCCCTTGGTCCTCACGCCCTCCCCCCTCCCCTTCCTTTCAGGCTGTGGAGGCGACTTGCATGCAGCCCAGGGCACATTTAGCAGCCCCTACTATCCAGGCCACTACCCGCCCAACATCAACTGCACCTGGAACATTGAGGTAGGAGCTGTGATGGGGGGGGCGGAGGTGGCTAGAGAAGGTGGGGGGGTACAAGGGACAGGGAGGGGAGGGAGGGGGAGGGATGCTCCAGGGCAGCAGGAGAAAGCACGATGAGTGCCTCCGGCCTCCCCTAAGGTGCAAGTATGGAGGCCGCAGGCGGGGCAGGTTCGGGCAGCATCCAGCAGACCCGGGCTCACACCCGCCTCCTGGCCGGCGCCTGACGTGACGGAGGGACCTGGGCCCGGGACTTCCCTCTCTGGCCGTGGCTCGCTCTGGGCAACGTGAGAGCAGGGGCGCCGGCCTCTTAGAGGAGCTGTTGGGACGAGGCCAAAGGCTGAGTGACACTCAGAGGACGCACTTGCTGGACGGCAGCAGACAGGCGTCTTGCCGACGGGGCACCTCACGCCGTCCAGTCGATGATGGGGGAGGAATTTCCAGCCTTCTTTAGTAACGTAATAGTGTGTCTCGCTGTTTGCAAGTCTGGAAGGTCTTCCAAGCATGGAGCCCGGATCCCTCCTGCCACGTCCTTACTGCCCCCGTGAGCCAGAGGGAAGAACCCGGCAGCCATGCTCCCGCCATGGTCCTGGTCCCATGGCTGCCACGGGCCACCCCGGACTTAGGAAGGAGCGAAGCCGCACAGAGGGTCAGCAGCATCTCTCTCCCCAGGTGCCCGACAACCAAAATGTGAAGGTGCACTTCAAAGCCTTCTTTTTGCTGGAGCCCAACGTCCCCCTGGGCTCCTGCTCCAAGGACTACGTGGAGATCAACGGGGAGAGGTGGGTGTCGGGGGAGGGGGAGGGGGGCTGCCCCAGCCCCGGGGTGGGTCCTCTTCCTCCCGCTGAGGCTCCTGCCGCCCCCAGGTACTGTGGAGAGAGGCCCCAGTTTGTCGTGAGCAGCGGCAGCAGCAAGATCACCGTCCACTTCCACTCGGACCAGTCCTACACGGACACCGGGTTCCTGGCCGAGTACCTGTCCTACGACGCCAGTGACCGTGAGTGACGCGCTCGGGAGGCGGGTCCTGGCTGGAGGGCGGGCCCGCGGTGAGCTCTCTGTTCTGCATTTTATTAGCACTGGGCTCTCCTGACTCTAGACCACCAGAGCCGGTAGGATTTATTATCAGTTGCTCTAGTAGCTTTCTGCGGGGAAAAAGGCTACCTTAGATGCACTTGTGAAAAAAGGCCGACCGTGAATGCCGGCACACACCATGTCCTTTGGTCCCTGGGTGCGGCATCTCAGGCCGAGGACCCCCGAGTTCCTTTGGTCTATTGTCCCTATGGTTCTGCATCACTTTGAGAATCTGTGCTTGTCTCTGTGTGTCTTTGAGCACCTGTAGGGTTAACAGCATGCTTTTGAGACACATTAGAGCATACTGGGGCGTGAGTCATCACACGAACTACTGCTAGCTTTGGAAATTCTGTGATCTCTACGGAAGAGGTCTGGTAGTTTCCGTGACCTTTAATTTCACTGTCTGCTGTGAATACCAGTTCTTCCACGTCCATGGTGATTATTTTGTTTCAACCCTGCATCCTAGAATAACCTTTTGGAAGTCACTTTTACTGCACACAGACGTCCACATTTAAGTTCAGATTCAACTACACGACTCACGGCCAGAAGTGTAATTAGATGAGCACAGCGCTTTGTTAAGTGACTGAGCTACCTGTGCAGAGAAAGCGACAACGGCCTCCTCTCCATTTTCTCATCTGATGACATCAGTTGTCAGACACATTCCAACTTCAGAAACATCGGAATGTGGAAAATGTCTTAGAATTAAGGAAAGCCGGTGATGCCGTGTGACACTAGGGTGGGACACATCAGCCGTCTGCAGAGCTGCTGCCGCTCCGACTTGCCGACGGGGAGCCTGGCGCTCGGGGATGTGGCTGACCAAGGACACGGGGCAGTAGAACTGCATGCGCACCCGCCAGCCTCTCTCCACTCTGCCCGGGGCTTCCCGGGGTTTGGTCATGGGGGGCGGGAGGGACCTCGACTGGCCCTTGCCCGCTAGCTATAGGAAGCCCCTTGTCACAGCTCAGCGGGCCTGGAGAACCCCAGCTGCAGCCTTGCTCCTCTGAGCTGGAGGCGGGGCTGGGGGTCGTGGACTTGAGGCCTGCCCTGTCTCTCTGCAGCGTGCCCGGGCAGGTTCATGTGTAACACAGGGCGGTGTATCCAGGAGGAGCTGCGCTGTGATGGCTGGGCTGACTGCACCGACCACAGCGACGAGCTCCACTGCCGTGAGTCGGGGCTGCCAGACCCGGGCATCCTCTGCCCTTGCTGTGCCCGACTTCTGCCACCGACCCTGCGGCGGGACGGCCCGAGGCGGTGGGGGAGTTTGTTCCCGGCCCGGGGCAGACGACAGGCCGCCTTTCCTCGGGCTCCTGGGGCCCCCTTTGGAGCAGGCGGTGCTGAGTCAGCTTCCACAGCCAGGCGGGACGTGGTCCCCAGGAGCGCGGTGCCCCAACTCCTGGGAAGAGCGGGTGCTGAGTGAGCCTCGTGTCTGACTGCGGCCCCTCGCCCCTCCAGAATGCAACGCCACCTACCAGTTCACGTGCACAGACAAGCTCTGCAAGCCCCTCTTCTGGGTCTGTGACTCCGTGAAGGACTGCGAGGACGGCAGTGATGAGCAGGGCTGCAGTGAGTGGGGCGGGGGGTGGCGGCTGGGGTCCCCGCGGCCCTCTGCTGACCCGCCAGCCCCTGCTGAGTCCTCGCGCTTCCCCAGGCTGCCCGCCCGAGACCTTCAGGTGTAACAACGGGAAGTGCCTCCCGCAGAGCCAGCAGTGTGACGGGAAGGACAACTGTGGGGACGGGTCCGATGAGGCCATGTGCGACCACGGTGAGGCCAGGCCCCGCCCCCTTCCCTTGGGCGCTTACCTGCCACACTCACGTGCAGCGGGTCCAGAGTTCAACCCGCACAGACCGCCCTGCACACCGCACACCGCGTGTGCGAGAGAGGGCGTCGGCTGGGCACGCCCTGCGCACCGCGTGTGCGAGAGAGAGGGTGTCGGCTGGGCACGGGTGCGGATGAGGGGGCAGGCCTGAGAGGGGCGTGAGGGGGAGGGACCGTCAGCCTGGGTGCGGGAGGGAGATTGATTCCCTCCCCCTGCGTCCTCCTCCGTGAGCAGTGAGCACCGTCACCTGCACCAAACACACCTACCGCTGCCTCGACGGGCTCTGTGTGAGCAAGGGCAACCCCGAGTGTGATGGGAAGAAGGACTGCATCGATGGCTCGGATGAGAAGGACTGTGGTGAGCAGGGCTGCCCATACAGTCGTGCAGGTTGTTCACTGTGCAAGGCGCAGACGGAGGTGGGCATTATGTCAGCGCTTCACTCACCCAGCTCTGCCCTGGTGAGAGGGTGTGTCTGCCTGGAGGAAAGGATAACTTTGCTGATTGGCACCCAGGCACTGCCTCACAGGCAGTTCTGGTCCTGGAGGCAAGGCCCAGGGCAGCTAGTACGTCAGGGCCTCTGTGGCAGGGCTGGTGTCCTGGCCGCAGTGCTGGGCTGACCCCCGCTCTGTAGACCTGGCCACAGGGGCAAGTCCTGGAGCCCTTGGCAGGGTTTTGTCCCCACCCTGCCCGTACTTTAATTTGCAGCCTCTTGTGTATTTCAGAAGCGCTGGCCGTAGGTTACGCGTGAGCAGAGCAGCAGCTCTTCTGTGACTTCACGTCACCCATTGTTCTTCCCTCAGAGCTGTGTCCTTCCGCGTGCAACAAGAAAGTCTGGGCAAATGACACCCAAATTAAATCTAAGCAAACCATCAGATGTCTGAAGGCCCCTGTGCAGGAGCGGGAGGTGGGGAGTGAGGGTTTTGAATTTGGGGGCAGGGAGAGGGGCCAGGTGGCTGCCCCGGCTGCTGCTCCGGTGGCGGGGCTGGTGCCCCACTGTGACTCCTGTCTCTGCCCCTCCCAGACTGTGGGCTGCGGTCATTCACCAGGCAGTCTCGGGTTGTCGGGGGTGAGAACGCGGACGAAGGTGAGTGGCCCTGGCAGGTGAGCCTCCACGCCCTGGGCCAGGGCCACGTGTGTGGGGCTTCCCTCATCTCCCCCAGCTGGATGGTATCCGCCGCCCACTGCTTCGTCAACCACAGAGGATTCAGGTACGCCATGGGCCGGGGCGGGGAGGCCTCGTGCCGGCCCTAAGTGGGGCGCCCCTCCACGTTTCCTGGGGTGGAAAGGCCCTGTGTCTGTGAGTCGTGCCCAGGTGAGGCAGGGCCGGGACTGGAGGGGTGGCAGACCCCCCAGGATGGGGCTTAATAACAGAAGTAATAAAAATGAGTGTTTATTGGGTGCCCCTCTTGTCCAGCGGGATCTCAGTGCCTCTCCTAACAGCCCAGGCAGACGGGTCTGAACACGTCTCCGTTTTACAGAAACGGAGGATCAGAGAGGTAAGGACATTTGCCTGAGGTGGTACAGCTTTTAAGAGGCAGAGCCAGACTGGGGCCCACGTGTGTGGATTCCAGAGCCGGTGCGGTCAGCCTCTGCACGGTGGAGACCCCTCGGGACCCTCTCATTCACCGCCTGGCCCTGGCTTGCCAGGCCACCGTGGGCGAGTTATTCACCTTCCTAGGCCTCAGGCTCCTGGGTGCTGATGGTGACGCTGTGATTTTTACGCTGAGAGGTGTGAGAAGGGAGCGCGGGGACGCACCTGAAGCGCTGAGCCCGTGCCTGGCGCACAGTAGGTGCTCAGCCCATCGTAGCCTCAGGTCCACGGCAGACCCGAGCCCGGTGCAGGGAGGGGCACCAAGCATGCCACTGGGCCATGCCGGCCTCTCAGGGCGGGTGGTCAAGGGCCAGGCTTAGCAGGAGCAGGTGGCCCAGCGCCGGGGCTCTTTCTGACTTAGGTCCAGCCCGCCCAGGCCCTCTGGCCATCGGCTGCGGGAGGGGGACTGAGGGGACAGCTTGCTCCTGGAGACTCGGGCATAGGGGTCCCCCTCACCCAGGGCCTTCCTGCCGGGTGCCTGCCCTCCTGCCGCGGGCAGCTGCGTGGGAAGGGGACCCAGGGTGCCACGGTCGCCCCTTGGCCAAGAGAGAGCGGGACCACCATGGACTTCCGGGACAGACAGGACCCATAGCATGACATAGGCCTAAGGCCAGACACTGGGGCCGATCAGACAGGTGCACGTGCTGGGGGTGATGTAACAGCAGAGGCTTGGGGGGAGTGGGGTCAGTGGTGGACCCCGGGCGCTGCTGGGCTGGTGAAGTGCAGCCTGGTCCAGCCTGCCCCCCTCTTCTCACTCTGTCACACTCCACTCCACTCTGGGCAGAAGCGATCTGCTTTCTTCTTCGGGTGATGGGAGCTTACTTCAGAATTTTTAGAATGAACTTATCATTTTGGAATGTGGACAAGTTGCGCAAAGATAGGACGCAATTTCCCCATACCCCCGCCCAATTTCCCTTGATGTTATCATGCTGCTTTTGTCAGCACCGAGAAACGAGAAACTCACGGTCCCTTACTAGGAACTTGCCTCCAGGCTGCCTCGGGGCTCCCTCTGGGCTCCCCCCCAGGCTCCCTGACACCGGTTTCACACCAGCATCCTTTCTGCTGCAGGAGTTTGTCCAGGTGCCCCCTTTGTGTCTGTTGTCCTGTCTCCCCAGTCTCCTCTGGTCCGGGACGATTTCTCAGTCTTTGTGTGTTTTTCGTGACCTGGACAGTCTGGAGGCCAGGGGCCCTGTAGAGTGCCCCCATCTGGATGCATCTGAGGTTGTTCTCGTGATTAGACTGGGGTCATGAGTGTTTGGAAGAAAGTCACGTTGTATCAGCAGGTAAATGATGTCATCGTGGCTTATCTCTGGTGATACTCAGCTCATCTCGGTCATCTGGTTAAGACGGTGATGACAGCTCTCTCCACTCGGAAGTGTTTCCCCCTTCTGTACTCTATTCTTTGAAAATGAGTCAGTGTGGAATTGCTTTGTAAGGAAGCTTTGTCCCTCTCTCCCATGTATTTATTTAATCATCTATTTATGTTTGTAGGGACTCGTGCATATATTTATATTTCGGGTTGTAATCCAATACCGTGTTGTTTACTGTCGCTAGATTATTCCAGAGCCGACCACTGAGAGCTCTCCAGGCTGGCGCCCGGCTCCCTAGGATATGCCCCCATTCTTTTGTTTTTCTGAGCCACCTCCCTGCTTTCGGACACCACCTGGTACTCTAGGCTCATCCTGTATTTTCCTGGTCCAGCCCTAGAACTAGGCATTCTGTGAGAAGAAACCGAGATTTGGGTCCTCTGCACCCACACAGCTGCCACAGTCCCCGTTCCTAGCCCCGTCTGCAGGGTGAGCTGGGATGTGCGTGGACTTCCTGAAGCACCTGCCCCTGGGCCCTGCCCGGCTTCTTCCTCTTTCCCTTGCTTCACCTTTTCGTTTCTCATTTCCTTTTCCTTCATCTTCTCCTGCTCAGCAGTCTTACTTCTGCCCATTAATGCCCTCAACAGCCATTGCTACCATTGGCACCGGGAGAGAAAGCTGAATTAGACTCGGTCCCTGCACTTCCAGACGTCCCAGGGTAGGGGGACAAGTTGCGATACACACGTGCACGTAGTAAGGGCTGTGCCAGAGCTGGGGGGAGGCTGCCGAGGGCCCAGTGTGTGGGTTAGAGCTCCCCTGAGTGCTGGGGAGGGTGGCTGCTAGGAGTGCCTTTATGGGCAGGGTGTCTGGTCTGCTGTTGAAACGTGAGGGTGTTTGTCAGTGGACCAGGTGACTCCGACCTTCCAGACAAAGGGAGGGTTGTGAGCAGGGACAGGCAGGGAGGAAGTGTGCCAGGACCTGGAGTGCAGGTACTTTGGACACATTTCTGAGTCAGCAAGCGATCCCAGGGTGTTACCGAGAGGTGGCATCTCGTGGTCAAGGGCATGGGCTGCTGGGTTCAGACGGTGGCCCAAGACCACCTTGACTGGCTGGGGGATAAGAAGACGTAACACGTCGGCCCCCAGAAGAGTGCTTGGCGTGGTCGGCTGTGTCGACCTCTGCCTTTTGCCTTAGGTCTTGACGGAATGGCCGGGGTTTATCTGCAGGTGTTTCTTTGCCGCCATCTAACCCATCGCTGCCGAGTTGCCTCTTAACGCTTGGGCCTTCACCATTCTTTCTGTGTTTGCTGTCCAGCTGATGTGCTTGTGACGATGCAGCACGGGGATGTCACCAGTCGGCTCGACACGACCAGCTTTGGGGCTTTTTTCCTCCAAGAGGTCCTTCATGACCTCGTGGAGTTTTCACACTGTGTCTTTTCTCGTCCTGCTTTTGTTTCTCTTTGTCTTCTGGAAGTTCCAGGCCCTCTCTGGTGACTGACACTGAAGTCTTCTCAGATTCCTTCTGCTGTCGGACACAGTACTCATAGGCGGGCTCAAGCACACAGATCACTGCTAAGCTGTGCTTCCCTAGACGTTCACGTACCCCTTTCGAGCCATTTCCGAGTTAGGCGCAGCCATCGTGGCACGTCTTCCCTGAGGATGGCAGGCGGCGTCTCCCAAGAACAGGGAAACCCTCCCATGTAACCACCATACGGTTATCGCATCCGGAAACGATCGCACTGACGTAGCACTGTTAGCTGGCATATGGTCCGCATTTCAGATTCCTCCAGTTCTCCCAATATTTATAGGTTTTTAAAAAATGTAGGATCCAGTCAAGGGATATGCTTTGTTTTAAGTCATTAGTTTTGACTCATCTCTTTAAAATGTAGAACAGTCTCTCCCAGCCTTTTAATTTTTGTTCTTTAATGGCAGTACGTTTTTGAAAAGTCCAGGATGTTATTTTGCAGAATGTCTCTCGATCTGGTTGTTTTTGATTGTTGTTTCATGATTAGAGTTAGGTTAAATTTTTTTTTTTCTGGTCAGGAAACACTGCATAGGTGATGTGTCCTCAGGAAGTACATAATACCCCATCAGTGGGGACGACTTGGAGAAAAGTCTGATTACTTGGTTAGGGTGGTGTCTACCAGTACTTATAAAGGTGCTTCCCCCGTTGGTTATGACTCTTGGGTGATACTTTGAATCGGTGTGTGTATCTTTTTAAAAAATATTTATTTATGTATCTATTTGGCTGCACCAGGTCTTAGTTGCGGCATGCGGGATCTTCCTTGCCGCGTGCAGGATCTTTAGTTGCGGCATGTGGCATCTTTTCTTTTAGTTGCCGCACGCGGGATCTAGTTCCCTGACCAGGGGTCGAACCCGGGCCCCCTGCGCTGGGAGCGCAGAGTCTTAACCACTGGACCGGGAGGGAAGTCCCAGTGTGGCTCTCTTGTTACCCGGTGGTTTTTGGCATCTGTTGATGATTCTCGCGTGTATCGGTTATTGCTGTGGTAGGTGTGAAATGTGACTTACTGTGTCATTTTTTCTGTATTTATTAGCTGGTGTTTTTCTGTAAAGCACAGCTTTCCTTCTCTTCTTATAAATTCTTTTGAGATTATTTTTTAGCTTCAGGATAGATTCTCCTCCGCTTCTTATATTGTTTATCACATATAGCGATATAACCCCGTAGTTTACTTTGGTGTCCAGATGATGCAGATCTTGACTAGTGAAAGCCTTGTCCTACTGGCACCGCCCTTGTGCCAGCTCTCACTCACTTCTGGTAACACAGTATATTCCTGGTTCACTCTATGTGCTGCTTGCTCCGGACCTGAAATCAGCCACTCCTCCAAGGAGCCTTGGTTCCTTTCCATGGGGAAGGATCGTTAGAAGCCACGTTCTGGCTGCTGTTGGGGATGCCATGGCTCTGAGGCCATCTTTCTGAACAGCCGTGAGCTTTTCCTGCTCTGATGGCATGTCAGCAGCATGGGGTTCTTCTCTCCTCCGCCTCTGCCTGTTGGCGTCTCCCTTTTCCCACGTGGGAAACTGGGTCCCAGCAACACCAGGGTCTTGTCTTTTTACTGGTTCAGTCGTCCAATACACAGTAGTTGAGAATTGCTGCACCATCCCGCTACCGACGACAAACCTGGTGAAGTTCCATCTACTTTTCAGCTCCTCTTGTACTTAAAGTATGTACCGCTGTGTTAGAGAAGTATTTGGATTGATGTGTTCCTTCCATGGAAGGGTAGATTAATGAGAAGGGAAATCTTTTTGGTAATGAGATAAGCGAGGACAGCTGAGCATCGTCCTGGGGTGGGCGCGGGCTCGGGTCGAGGGGCACAGGGCACGGGGCCGAGGGCGCTGGCTCAGGCCTCCCTCTCCGCCCGTCCTCCGGCCCCCGGCAGGTACTCTGACCACAGCATGTGGACCGCCTTCCTGGGCCTGCACGACCAGAGCAAGCGCAGCGCCCCCGGGGTGCAGGAGCGCCGGCTGCAGCGCGTCATCTCCCACCCCTTCTTCAACGACTTCACCTTTGACTACGACATCGCGCTGCTGCAGCTGGAGCAGCCAGCCGAGTACAGCGCCACCGTGCGGCCCATCTGCCTGCCGGACGCCGCGCATGCCTTCCCCACCGGCAAGGCCATCTGGGTCACCGGCTGGGGCCACACGCAGGAGGGAGGTGAGCGGGGGTGGGGGTGAAGTTGGGGTGAGGGGCTGACAGCTCTGCCCGCAGTCCAACCGCTGTGGGATGGGGGGGGCCTCGTGGCCGTCCTTCTGTCCCTTTCTCACACGCCTTCCCAGGGTGGGTATCGGATTCCTCACCCGACAGACGGTCAGCGCGGCCTGATCACTCTGCCCCGCTGCACAGCATCCCATCCTGGAGACGTGCCCTCAGGTTTTAGCCACGTGTGGGCCGCGGGCATCCGCGCTATTTCGGGGGCTCTGCTGGTCGGGTCCCCCCGCTGACTGCCGGCCTCCCCTCCCGCCCTGTCCCCCCCTTCCGCTGCCTCCCAGGCACCGGGGCGCTGATCCTGCAGAAGGGTGAGATCCGCGTCATCAACCAGACCACGTGCGAGCGCCTGCTGCCGCAGCAGATCACCGCGCGCATGCTGTGCGTGGGCTACCTCAGCGGCGGCGTGGACGCCTGCCAGGTGGGCCGGCGGGGCTGGGGGCGGCGCGGAGGGGCGGGGCGGCGGGGCTCGGTGCCAAGGCCTGGTCTCCCCGCAGGGCGATTCCGGGGGCCCGCTGTCCAGCCCGGAGGCCGATGGGCGGATGTTCCAGGCCGGCGTGGTGAGCTGGGGCGACGGCTGCGCGCAGAGGGACAAGCCAGGCGTGTACACGAGGCTCTCCGTGTTTCGGGACTGGGTTAAACAGCAGACCGGGGTGTAGAGGCGAGGCGCCACCCCAGGTGCGCACGTGCGGGCTGAGGACGGGATTGCTGCCTGGGCCCCCGGCTTGGCCCCCGGAACCCAGACTGGGACCTGATCCCCGAGCCTCTGGAGATGGAGACTCGCCCGCAGGCCTCTCACCCACCCCACACCCCCAGCTTCCCAAGCGCGTTCGGGGAGGGGAGGGGAGGGGAGGACGCCTGTCAGTGCCAGGCCGGAGGTTTGAAGACACAGCCTTTCGGCCCTGGCGCCACGCTGGGCCGGAGGCTCTTTTCCTCGGATACAGGGAAGGCTGGCTTCGTCTGCCTCGGATATAGGACCAGCTCTCGTTTGGACTTTGGGGCCCCTTGGGCGGGGCTGGTGGGGCACCACGGGCTCCCAGGGTCGCCTGCTTCAGGAAATCCAGGCCTGAGGGACCTGGAAGTCAGCCGGGTCCAAGGTTCGAATGTTTTGCCGGCTTCCAGGGTGGGGTTCAGTGTGTATATTTGTGTGTATGAGTAAAACACTTTATTTCTTTTTAGGTAATTTTTCTTTCTTACTGGAGTTGATGGGCTCCCCTAGCCCCAGCAGCAAGAAACTGGGTTTAAATTCCCCTCAGCACAGAGCCTGGAGTCAGGCTGAGAGTGGGGACCACAGTGCCCTGTGATGGTCCCAGGCCAGCACAGGGCCGTGTTTCCTCCCTTACCTGAAGCTCCCCTGGCAGGGCCTGGTGCCGGGACAGGAGGGATGGGATGGGGTGCTGCTCCCCGGGATGGGGGAGGAGCTTTGTCCTGGGGGTTTCGGTCAGGTGGGGAGATGGTCACACGAATGGTGTGTGTGTGTGTGTGTGTACCTGTGCGCCTGCGCTTGCACACTCGGACACGAGAGTGTGCGTGAACTCACGGCTATCCAGCGTGGGCTGAGTGGGTGGGTCCTGATGATGCCGCCTCACTTGAGGCTTCTCCCATGTCTAGTGCTGTCCTTCCTCCTTTGATTTTTACTTAGTAAATTACAGTATTCTCTCCCTTCTTGCTTGGGATGACTCAGAGGGACAGAGACGAGGATCTGGGGAGGGCTCAGGGAGTTCTTGAGAAGATGTTTGAGGGCCTTCCGTATGCCAAGGCTCTGTACGAGCTGGGGCTGGGGGATAGCAGCAGACCTAGGAAGAGAAATCAGATGGCCGTGTGAGGGAGGGTGGGCGGTCTTCACTCATTGCTGTATCGCCAGCTCAGGCCTGGCTCCTAGAAGATGCTAACACATATTTGTTGACTGAATGGTCTTTGCTCTCTATGTGTTTTGGAAACCAAAGGGAACAATCTGGGCAGACTTCCTGGAGGAGGTGAGCTGCCTCTTTCATTTTAGCCTGAGGGCCTTACCCTCTGGAAGGAGGGAGAAGTTTTGTCTTGACAGCTGTGCAAGCATCCACATTGGGTTTTCCTTCCAGGGAAGGGAAAGGGTATCATTTTTGCCCAGGTGTGGGGAGTAGGAGAATGAAGGTGCTGTCAGAAGACCCTGTGCAGATGGTGCCGAGTGTACATACCTGGTGTGTAGGGAGAGGCTTCACTTGTGGTCTGGTTCCCAAGGGTGAGAGCCCCTCAGGCAGCCAGGCCTGGCCTGTGCCTACCCACAGCACCGCTCTCCTGTCGGCACCTGACATGGTCCAGAAGACGCCCTCCCCAGGTCAGAAACGCAGGCAGGGTCATGAGACGACTTCACTGTCCCCTAAAGGCACAGGGGCTCCCTCTCCACAGCCCCCTGTCCCAGTCTATGGTGGTTTCTCAGCCTCATTGTTATCCTCCTGGGGCCCTTTGGGGTCACCCCGCTGCCTCAGGGGTCTCACCGGCATGTCCGGGCTGGGACTGGGCTGGTCATCCAGGAGAGCATTCCCACAGCGTGGCCCCGGGGCCAGGAGCATCCGCACCACCTGGGGCGTCGCAGAGACTCAATTCTCACACTTCACCCAGACCTCGCAGCCGTCTGCTTAACAAGCCTTCTGGGTGATTCTGACGAACCACAGGGCTAAGAGCATCCGCATCTCTGAGTGCCCACCAGGTGCCCGGCACTGCGCTTTGCAGGCGTGTCCTGCGGTCCTGGCAGGGTCCTGGAAGCCACAAACATTTGACGCCTGGAAACCGAACAAAGCATCAGTGCCTTTCAAAAGACTGGAGCCAAACCCAGCGTTACTTCTGACCACAGATAAGAATCGGCTAAGACTCCTTAGCTAGTGGGAAGTCAGTCTCGTCTTCGAGCTGTAATGAAGACAGAGACCCGAGCACAGTCAGGGCTGACGACAGGAGTGACAGCCAGCCCGGGTCCACTCCTCTCTGCCGAGGGCAGCGGCGCCGGCACCAGCCCTGAGCCACCGCCTCAGCTTCCCGCACCCGGGTGCAGGCCCGGGGAGAGACTAGTGACCAAAACTGTTCCGCACACATTTTCACGTCCAGTTCAAGAACTCCAGCTCCAAGTGTGTGAGCAAGTTCAGTTCCGCCCGTGCAGCCTGCTGTGGCCGCAGCCAGGCCCACGACGGTGCAGTGCCGTTCGTGTGACCGCACCCAGGCAACCAGGCAGCGCTGCCCCAGGCAGGCACACGGGCCTGTGCGCAAGGCGCTGCCTCGGCTTCATGCTCTCTGTTGCCTTCGGTTGGGTCCCCACAAAAGCTCAGCGAACCACTGTGAGGCCTTTTCCTGACTGACTAGCCTGTTTTAGTTGCTAGGATCTTGAAACGAGCCATCTCTCTGGTCCCCCAAACTACCCTGCGTCTCACTTGTTTTAGCCACCAATCACAAGCATTAAAATGGAAGTTCAGTCAGTGTTTCATCCTATTTCGTGGACAGGGATCGGATCCTGCAGGAGGAACAGTCTGCAGGGACCCAGGGCCGGGGGAAACCAGAAGGGCGTAGGGAAGCTGTTCAGCCACCAGGGGGCACCGCAGGGCTTCCCAGGCCGCCAGCCTCCCGGTGGCCAAGGTGCTGTCACGGGAGAGGGGCCCTTGCTGCGTAGGGTGGGGAGGTGGGTTGGGACGGACCCCAGGCCCAGCCGTTCTCGGAAGGCTGTCTCCTGCAGCTTCCAGTCCCTCCGTGCCCCGTCTCAGGTGGGCAGCAGGAGGCCCCGCACCCACCCCTCCCTGCGGCAGGGACCTGCTGGCCCTCAGGCTCTGGGACCCGGAGGATGAACATGCCCAGGGCGGGGTCAAAAGAGCTTTAGGGTTTGAGGACAGAGGTGACCAGTGGCAGGAGGTGGGTGTTATCTCCCGCAGGAGCAAGCGTGCAACGATACCGTTATCACAGCTGGTAGGTGCTGCAGCCCGTGGGCAGGTACATTCTTACACACACACACACACACACACACAGGCGTTCTTGGGGGAGGGGCAGGGCTGTGTTTTAGGGCCTGAGCTCCCGGTCCTGGAAACACGGCCTGGCTGTTACCACAGGACACCCTCCCTCTCTGGGGCACGTGGCATGCCCACAGATTCAGTTCAGGGGGCCTCCCTCAGCTCTCTGCGATGGAATGAGGCCTCCCACTTTCCCAGGCTTGGAATCACGAGGGTGTGTTTTGCACACCTGCCGCCACACGTAAGGGAGATTGGACCTTAAAGCCGGTGTTTCTCAGACTTGAGTTTCTTGGAACACTGAAGCTCCAACATATCTACCATCTAATGAAAGAGCCACTTTACTTGTCTGATGTAAACCTCACAACAGCCCTATGGTCGTTCCCACTTTACAACAGAAAACCACGGCGCCAAGAGTGTAAGTAACCGCCCAAGGTCCCACATCTAGTCTCCTAGGACCCGGGCACCTAGGCTCTGTCCCCCATAGACTCTTACTCACACACCGTCGTTTCACGAGGGAAGGAACTTCTCGCGGGTAAAATGAAGGGGCCACGTTCTCAGAGACCCTGTGGGCCAGCCCCTAGGCTCGAGTCCCCCTTGCTTTGGGGAACTCCAACAGACCTGGTCACGAGGCCTCCCTGCCATGAGAGCTATTTTCCAGGTGAGGGGTTTGCTCCAGGTGGGCCGTCAACTCGTTCTCCATCTGCTTTGCCAGCCCGGGTGGGACGCTGCTGCTTATTGGGTCCCTGGGGTCCACCTGGCCCAAAGAGGGGGGGGATTTGCATCAGCCCTCGTGCCATTTCAACTCGTCCGGTAAGGGTGATGGGCCGAGGGAGGGAAGGGGGAAGTGTCCGGTTGGAAGGGGGTCCGGGCAACTGCTTTCAGGTCACCAGGCTGGGGTTCCTCAGGGTGGCAATCAGGAACAGAGCTTGGAAAGCCACCAAATACCACTCAGATGACGAGAGCAGGCCCCCAAGCAGGAATATGAACATTTATCACCTGCTTTTACGTCTCGGGTTGACCTAGAAGATCGTTCCAACCGTTCTTCCACAAGGTGACAAACACGGCGTTGACAGCGGGGAGTGACGACGTCAGAGGGGCTTTGAGCAAGTGGTGCTTCCTCCAGGCCTGGGCGTGGACAGGCTCCTCCCTGAGGAGAGGGAGCCGCCTCTGGCACAACAGGAAAAGGGGGCGCGAGGGGGACCTGGGTGCCGGCCGAGCGTGAGGGGGGCCTGGGTCCAGATTCCCTTTATGTTCTGGCTGTTCTCGCCCCCCACACCCCTGCTCCCCGCAAGAGAGATGCTGAGGAAAGAGCAGCCCTTGACTCTCAGATCAGCACTTGCACGCCGCGCTGATTGCTTCTGGTCTGATATGCCTACAGTGATGACTGTATTTTGGTGAAGAAACCCCAGCTCTTCGGATTTCAGTTCATTTAATTGTCTGTTTCCCCCTTTTCTTCTCCAGAGGGCTGCGCGCTCCTGTGCCATCGCCCTGCACCTGCAGCTCCGAGGCTGTTTTTCTGCCTTTTCCCCTCATCTCCAGTTGTTTCCTAAAAAGTCAGGGTCCAGAGCTCTTTCCAGGCGAGGTGGAATCAACTCCATTGTCTGGTTGTTCCGCTGCCTCAGAATCTTCCAGCGGGAGGGCTGTGTATTTTCCTGGGGTGCTAACTTAGCTTGCCCTTCCCCTTGGCTCTGTGCTTTCCTCCACCGCATGCTTCCTTCACCCTGAGGTTATCACGATTTTCCCTGCCCACACCCCTGTGGTCAGGAATAACTCAGTCTCCCTGCCAGACCTCTCTTCTGGAACTTCATACGGACTTGTTTAACTCGAAAAGAAAACTCTTCCACCCTTAGCCTGTGTTCTTTTTCCAAAGAGCTGCAAGTACACGGTGTGTGTGTGGGAGGGCTGGGGGACAGGAGAAGGACCAGGTCCCGAGAGGAGGGTAGGGGAGCTCTCTCCTTCCCTCTCCCTCTCCCTCCTTCTCTCTCTCTCTCTCTCTCTCTCTCTCTCTGTCAGACAACAGCTCCCGAAGGAAACAGGGCATCAGATACCTCTTTGAATTTCATAACCTAGGTACTGTCCAAATGCTTAAAAAGGACAAGAAAAATGTGTAGAAACAGACTAGAAAAAATTGAAATCTATGTTTGGAACACGTGACCCTTGCAAAAAAACGGTTAAAAAATGGCTTATTTATACCAGCCAGAAGAAAGGATGAGGAAAGAAGTCATGGATTCGACAGGCTTTTGCCGAGGGTCGCCCTGCGCCCTTTGTGACTTGGGAACAGGGCCGTTGTAGGATGAGGGCTGCTTCAGGCTCGTCGGGCCTGGCCTTGCAGACGCTGGGAAGCAGGTCCTGGAGCCCGTCGGGGGCCCTTGGTGGGTGGGAGTTCACATTCCCAGGAGGTGTGAGGTCACAGGGCCTGGCCACTTGCCTCCCTGGGCCTCTGTGACCCTCCAGTTGCTCAGTGGGATAACAGCTGCCTGAGGGCTGCCCTTTTAGAACTGGAAGGACACCTCCATTCAACCTCACAGCTGGAAAGAAGCTTTGGAGGTCAGGTAGGTAGGAACCTGCTCTGCACACCTACCCTGCCAACGTGTCTGTCCCGCCGCTGTCCTCGCTGGGGAAGGTCCGGCAGCTCAGCTGCTCCGGTGATATCTACGAAGTGTCAGCAACGGGGCAGTGCGTGCCGAGTGCCTCGTGTGCATCACATCACTGCATCCTCCCCACGGCATCTCGCTCAAGTTTCCTCAGAAAGAGAAGAGGAAGGATGCAAACCCAGCCGCTGGACTCCAAAGCCCGTGCAGTTAAGTCCTGGACTGCCTTCCAGAGGCAGGGCACCCCCAACCTGAAGCCTGGAGGATCCAGGGCCTCTTGCCAGGCGATCAGCTCCGTGGCTTAGGCACACGTGGAAAAGGCCAAAATGAACTAGCTGGGCTCTGAAAGGGCTCCTTCAGCGTCTCAAAATCTTTCCCGTTCCTATTTCCTTGGCTGCTACCCCCGGCAGCCCCTGGGCATTTCCCTTTCTCAGGGGCCAAACCGTCTGCTTTCTCTTATTCCTCCACCTAGGGCTAGTGGGGAATGGAGGGACAGAACGTTTCCTTGAGGTCTTGGCCGTGGGCAGCTGGACAACGTGCTCCGACCTGTGACTCAGAAGGGTCACTTCTGCCCTCAGCTTCCTCCCTTGAGCCATTCATGTCTGCTGAATGCTGGCTGGCCTTGGGGGAAGCCGAAGCAAAAGGAACAGAGAGGCCCAAAGTGATGGGGGCACCTGGGCTTGGAGAAGTGACTGGAAAAGGAGGACTGACAGAAGGCCTGCGGGGTCCTGCTGCGTCCAGGGAAATCCCCTTCCTCAGATTTCTCCACTCCCAAAGAAGGAGCCACAGAACGAGCCTGGGTGGGGTGACAGAAATGTTTCTGGGTCACCAATGACAAGGACTTTCACTGGGACCTGGGGGAATGTCGCAACCGGAGCTGAAAAGACAATCCATTTTGTTCTAGTTCAAAGGCTTTTGAAAAATAAACGAGTGGTTAACAGTTTGAACTGTTTCGCTGGGTATTTATTTTAAACAAAAGCCTTTTAATTAGGTTTAATAAATATTTTGTAAGTTTGGCTTAAAGGCAAAGAAAGATTCTTTCGAGTTCCTGCCCTGGGGATCATTCTAGGTGAGAGCAGTAGGGGGCGCTCACGCCCTGCACGCCATAGGCACAGTCGCTGAAGCAGCCGGTCCGGAAGGAAGGTGTGGGTGGCCCGCCAGTCTCCACGACCTCCTCCCACCCAGTTCATGGTGAGTCTTGGCAAAGCCCAGATGTGGAACCCTGTGTTCCCAAGTGTGGAAACACCACGTCTGGGCCCACTGTGAAGGCGGCTCTCCAGTGTCTGTGCTGCCTTTCCTCTTCCCGACCCCTCACCCCAGGGTGCGAACTTCATGGGCAGTGGCCACCATGGGAAACTCACCCGTCCTGGAGAGGTTGGCAGGCGCTGGACGGCCAGCTCCGTAAGTGCAGCAGGGCTCGCTTACGTGACTCTGGAGCGCGTTCAGGGCTGGCATCACGCGGGCGTCCTTGGCAGACTCCTCGGCTGGAGCAGGTTTATGGGAGGCCCAGGAACTCGGGCGTCATGGTCACGGCCAGGGGGACTGAGCGTCCTCTTTCCTCTCTTCTTGGGGTCGGGGGGAGGGATAGAGGGCCCCCAGAAACTCCTCGGGTCGCCTTTTCCAGAATGTGGGTTTCCTCCCACTTAATGTACCTGGAAACGTTCCACGTCTCCAAGGTCAACACTGATCCCCGTCCGGCTTTCCTCACGGATGCCGTTTTCACGGACTAGGGAAGCTGATGAAGAGCTTCACTCCCCCACGAGCAGCTCATAATCAGGTGTTTCTCCATCACTGAGAGTGAAAGTGAAAGGTAGGAAGCGTATTGAGGTTCGTGTTACACCTGTTTTTCATCTGTGACAGGACAGACTGCCATTATTATGGACCCATTCCCAGGATGTGTATTCGTCCCTCCTCACTGACTGACCTCTCACCGTGTGCCAGGCTCGGGCATGGGGGTGGGCAGGAGGAAAGCGAGGCTGGGAAGGTAAGCGGCTCACGAGCCCACACACGCTCCTGTCCTGTGCGTCAGTCACAGGAGGGAAAGAGCCTTCAAAAGGCAGGCGGCAGAGCTGAGGGTTTCATGAAAACCTCACCAATGCGCAGCTACTAAAAGGTGACGTTTTGGCCCTGGAAAGGTCTTAAGCATATTTGTTACCACATGTTCCTGTCACCCTGGATTAACATTATCTTGGACTGAGTCTGAATTACATTCAGCCCTGACCTCCCCACATGCTTCTCATCCTCCTTGGGATTAGAAAACCCCTATTTTCTACTTATTACTCATGGGACTTCGTTATGGTTAACTTCTGGGAAGCAAGGACCAACCTTCCACGTCTACACTGAAAACAGATTATGCTTATGTAACGTACTTGGAGTGACGTGTGGGGAAGCAGAGAGAGCGCCCCCCCCCAACCCCGGTCCGAGGTGCAGGCACCCGGGCACTGAGGGCCATGCTGTGGGCTGAGCCTCGAGGAGGTATCTGGTTCCCACTGGAGCCTGGGGGTTGCTGGGCAGAACGAACTGCTGGGTTTTTCCTTTGCTCTTGGCTCTGCTCACCCCTCCAACCTACACTTTACGATGGGAGATGAGCCGGAAAATCCACTGACGCACACGAGAGCTGGGGTAAACCAGTGACTGAGGGACTTCTCTGGCGGTCCAGTGCTTAAGACTCTGCGCTTCCATTATGGTGGGTGCGGGTTCAAACCCTGGCCGGGGAACTAAGATCCTGCATGCCACTCGGCGTGGCCAAAAAATTAAAACCAAACAAAAAACCCCCAGTGACTGAGAGACTCCAGGTGGGAAGGGATTCAGCAAACGGGAAAAACCTTTTACACCTGGTGCCTCTCAACAGAGGCAAATAAGGGGCTCCAACTGTTTGGCTCTGGGATGGCGGCTGTTGCTGACAGCGAGGGGGGGAGCACGGAAGAGCTTCTGGTCCCATTGTTTCAGGGGTGCAGGCCCAGGGCCCCCAGAGGGCGGGCCTGGTAGCAGCCCCAGGGAGGAGGTCCTGGGCGGGCAGGACTCCTGACATGGGGAGACCAGAACTGCAGATGGACCCTGACTGAAACGGAAGCCTCCCTTCTTCCCTTGCCCCTATTTTTTGTGTGTGTGTTTGTACGTATGCGTGCATACATCAATGTTTTGTGGCACTTAAAACGTGCAAGGCAAAGCTAGACCTTCCCCAAAGCTAATCTGTACCAGTCCCTCTCTCCTGGGACCACATGGAAGGCCCTGCCACGTTGGACAGTGGATCTGAATTCTTACTGGTGTCACACGGTCGTACCTGGGAGGCCGCGGGAGCTGTGGAACCCCTGTTCTGGGTAGAAATTATGCATGGATGTACCTGGCACGTGCTGGGCAGGACTGGATGAATCGGTGCTTGGTTTTTCCATGCATATGCACGTTTCCCCATTTAAATCTCATCCTTTCCCTAGGCCTTCCTTGCTGTACCTCTTCAAAAGGCACTTGATAAAACTTTCCAGGGCAGTTATGCGTATCTCCTCACGTCAGGAGGTTCTTGGGGGGAAGAGCAACCGTCTTCCAAAAGCCACTTCATGTTTCCTACGTCAATGGAGATTACACGCTGGCAGCCTACACCTCATCTCTGGGCTCCGTGTACGTAGGAGCCTGTGAGAGTCAGTCCCCCTGTAGGAAAGGATGTGTCTGGGTATTTGATACACGCAGGTCTCTTAAACAGCACCTTGAACTTAGAAGCCAAAACTCTGGATACATACAACGAGCTGCGTTAAAAAGTTAAATCTACAGCTGCTGCCGGTATCCAGCCTTTAAGCTCAGTTTCTAACTTAGAGCACCTGTTCCTTGGCCTGTGTTGGGGAAACAGACTTCCTCTGAGTTTGTCCAGGAAAAGATGTTACACGTGGAAACAAACTTCCTCCATGCTCAGTCTATGTCCCTTTTTAATCTCCAGGCACGTCCTGTTCTGCTCTGGCTTCTTCCCACAGAGGAGTGGGTGGGGAGCCCAGCCTCCCTCCTGAACATGCCTGGTAGCGCCCTTGACCTTGTGTGTGGACCCTCACCTGCTTGGACCTGGCTTACTGGCCATCCTCTCACCTTGGCCATCAAACTGCTCCCCTACCCACCCCCACACTTTACCTTCAGTGTTGGCCAAACCCCTTCCCCTCCACCCAGATGATGAACCCCACGAGGGCAAGGTTTCTGTTGTTCTGTTCCATGCTGTGCTTGCAGTGCCTGGAAGTGTCTCGTGTGGCAGACACTCAGTGTCTGTTGAAGGAAAGTAGAAGGAATGTAAGAAGCAGAGCAAAGCAGGACGTGAGAAATGTCTTTGGAAATTTCAACCCCACCAACCTGGTTTAGTAGAAGCCAGGCTCTGCTATGAAAGGGCCACCGAGCTAAGTAACTTCCTTGCACGACTATTCCTAAACCTCTCCTCACCCTAACTCTGGGCTCAGCTCTGGAACCTGGCTCAGAACTCTGCCGAACTCTTTCTCTATTTTTGTCTAGGACACAGAGTTCCCCCTCAAAACCAAAGGGAGTTCCCTTAAGAATTTGACAACATCAAGTAAATAGCACTTGGAGGGCCTGAAATAGAGCTGATATTGTCCACTGTTCAGAGACTAGACATGCTTAAGATCCCAGCCCCACCCTCTCACCAAACCCTTCCCCAGACCCCTGCTCCAGTGCCACTCATGGCACCTTCCTCTGGGCTCTTCCCTGAACTACTTAAGTAATTCCTCAGTGATCCGCAGTTCAGTCTGTACGCCTTCCCTCTAATCTACTTCATGCTTGTGCTTAATCTTTCTAGAGCAAGCTCTGATTAAGTTGTCCCTCTGCCTCAAAACGTGTGATGCTTTTCTATTTCCTACCACATTCAGTTCAAGTTCTTAAAGGCCTCCTCATCTGGTTCCAGTCTGCTTTCTAACATTTTCTCCCATTTTCTTTTCAGGGATACTGCAACTCTCCACAAACCAAACCGCTTTCACTCCCTGGACATTCCACCTCTTGTGCTCAGTGTTGTTTCCTAAGTGCCATCCCACCCCCATTTCTGCCAGTACAAATTTCTAGACCTCTTTACAAGGAAATTCCAGCTCAAATGTTCCTCCTCCACGTAGCCTCCCTGATCCCTCCAGCCAGGTCTCTCCCTCCAAATTGGCAGAGGACATGCTTTGCTGTTTCCCTCATGGCACTCAGTTATTTCTATATTCGTTTTATTTCTGTAAGTCTTTACTTCAGAAACCATAAGCTCCTAGGGTCAGAGACTTCATTCAATCAACCCCAGGCCTGGGGACACCTTGGTACAAGAGACAGGTATGGCCCTGTCCGAATGGAGTTTAGTCCAACTGCTTTTAAATAATCAATTACCATTGTAATAAAAGCACCGGATGCTTGTGAACCTAATAGGAAGTCAGAGCCCAGCGTGGGAGGCTCTGGGAATGCTTCTTTAAGAAGTGAAACTTAGGTATGGACTTGATGGATGAGTAAACCGGACTAAAGGGAGGGAAATGGCAGCACCAGTGTTTCAGAGAACAATTTGGAGAAATTGTGGCCAGGCCGATGGCAGTTGTTCTGAGGATTAGACTTGAAGTGGGAGTTGAGGCAAACTGTCAGGTGCCATGTTTCTCAGTGTTCTGTCCTAAAGTTCCCTGGTGAGTACCTCTGAGCATTCTGGTAAAGTGAGCTTATGACCATTTCCTGGCAACATTCAATTATTCCTTCAACATTTTTTTGAGTTCTACTATGTGCCTGGCACTACAGCGAATATACAAATAGAAGACACAGTCCCTGATGTCAAGAAATAAATCAGGTGAGGGAGACACACTAGTTATAATAGACAAGACTTATTGAGTGGCTACTCTATACTAGGTGCTTGCTGTTCTAAGCCTTTTACATATAATCATTCCATTCTCATAACTGCCCCAGGAGGTAGCTTTACAAGACAGTGTGACTGAGACGTGGGTTGGTGTAGCTAAACAAAATCTGCTAGGGAGAGGGACCTTCACCCCAAAACTGGAGGTAGGCGGGAGTGGGGACTGAGTGGCGGGTTCCAAGAGGAGGTGAAGCCTGACCTTTGTAGTCAAAGTCCAACTACAACTAGCCAAGCACAGCAGGCCGGGACGGATTTCCCAGGGAGAGGGAGGCGGACTTTAAGCAGGGCAGTGGCCCGGTTAAAACATGACCCAGCAGAAACGGGACGGATGGACCAGCGGGGGACGGACTGGAGAGAGGGCTGTTTTTGTTTCTAGGCCAGAAACAACAAAGGCTTGAATTAAGTAGCAGCAGCAGGGATGGAGAAAATGACAGAAAATATTAGCAACAGGGGTGGGAAAGATAATCCAGAGGTGATATTTAGGTAAAAGCACACAAAGAAAAGCACACGACCAGTTCACATATTTACAACAAGGTCACCTGTAACTGTTTTACATCAGGAGAGTAAGTTAACTTGACTCTCCTTTAGAACTAGGACCTGGCACAAAAGACAAAAACACCCATCTGCATAAACGAACTCACATTTTCTGCCAGCGTTACCCTCCCTCAAGGGTCTCCCAAGATGCTAGTGCCCCAAAGAATCGCAACGCTAGGACTGGCAGGGTCAAAGCTTCAGGGTTTTCTTCCTATCACTGGGTCTGGGAGAGCTGAGTGCTGTATCAGCTCAAGACTTCTCGGGTTGCAGCCCTGTTGGTGCCTAGGGATTTCAGGGTGGCTCTAATGCCTTTCTATAATGGGTAGGAAGGGCCCTATCTGTGTGGGTCATACATTTGTTATTATGTCACTGGGTTTTTGAAAACCTAATCACTCACAGTGCTAGCGTTTTATAAACTGCAAAACACACTGAAAAGGAGTTTTTACTAATCTTGTAGGTAGACTCATTTGCATTCAACAGAGAATTGTTTCTGGACAAAAGTTATCGTGTACACAGGTCCTACCACATTTACCACTGCTGCCTGAACTACCAAAGAGAGCACGTCTGCCTCAGCCCCTAAATTAAAGTGGACTAGTGGAATTTTATTTGGTTGTGATCTTTTCTTATGTTCTAAAGCAACTTTCCCAACAGAGGGTCTCTAGATGGCACGAATCATCAGAGGTAATTCATTTGTAGCTGGCCCTTTACTGAGTGTGTGTATGTGTATGGTGCTAAGCCTGTCTTAACTTTTCAGGTTCTCTGGTCAATGAGACGCACTCACTCACTTATTCAGTCTTTCAGACTCCAGCCAAAGGCCCCCAGAAATGTCAGCCGTGGAAAAAAGGAGGCAACAATAGAAAGAAGGGTGTGGGACTGCATGGAGGCGAGGCGCCCCACAAAAGGACTCTGAAGACAGCTCTGCCCATAGCCTCTGCAGTGACTTGTCTGCTTATCTATAAAATGGGTGGGTATAAAAATTTCAAGTATTTTTGGCACAAGAATTCAAGAAAACAAATCAAGAGTTTAACAACAGTAAACCAGCTTTCCCTTCGTCCCCACGGCTGTGCCAACCCTGGTTCTCATCCTGTGGCTGACGAGGAAGCTCCTTCTGGATTGACTATATGCCCCATCTTAGTTTTCCCATCTGTATAAAAGTTTACCCATGTGAAAGATGAATTACATTACATTTTGGGATTTGACGTTTATGAGCAAGTTCCCCCCATTTAAACTCTCAGTACATTTGCAGATCTCTCAGTTTAGTACTTAGAACATTCTGTTCAGAAAAGAACGCCCCAACTATGTATCCCAGTGCCATGCATCGAGGAGACAGACACACATCTTCCTTTACTACCTTTAGTATCATTCTCTGAAAGGAATTTCTCTGGCCTGTTATTCATATGCAAATCAAACTGTAAGGCAGGAGTACTTAAAATTCTACGTTCTGCATTTATATGGATCACCTGTGGCTGAGGTAGCTACTGAGGACCCCAACAGTTTGCCGGCCTTGAATGGTTTGGTAAACCATTGTTAAAAACACTCAACAGGGCTTCCGTGGTGGCGCAGTGGTTGAGAGTCCGCCTGCCGATGCAGGGGACACGAGTTCGTGCCCCGGTCCGGGAAGATCCCACGTGCCGCGGCGCGGCTGGGCCCGTGAGCCATGGCCGCTGAGCCTGCGCGTCCGGAGCCTGTGCTCTGTGACTGGAGAGGCCACAGCAGTGAGAGGCCTGCGTACCGCAAAAAAGCCCAAAAAAACAAAACACTCAACACGAATGATAGAAAATGCTTCTTAAAAATTTACGCTTTTCCTCCCTGAACTTAAGTGATGCTGGTAGCTTGGGGTCAGTGCACAGTCTCCTTTGGCGGTTGCTCTCACTCTATAGACCACTTATTGTCAAAATCCACAGCAAGTGCATCTGTAGTTAGAATGCCCTTCCTTCAGGCTCTCTCACAGGCTCATCACCTAGGCAATGAGTTGCCTTCCCCCAGTAAGTACCATTCTCTATTCCTTGGTTGTGAGGTATTATTGAAATATCCCAACAGGTCTCTCTAATCAATGAAGTATAGCCTCAGATAGATTCAAGGCAACTTCTCAACACATAACCCACCACTCAGGAAAGCAGGTCTGCACAAGATACCTGGCTCAACAGCTCTAGGATTTGATGACTTTCTCCAACTAGCCTCCTTCATATTCTTTTCCATTTTAGGGATGGTGTTCATGGACTCCTTGCCCTTTCACCTCTTTTCTTACCTGCCCAGGAAGCTGATGTGTGTGCTGACTCGCAGAACACTCTCTAGTCTGTACAAACTCAATGGATGCTTACTTAAGGCGCGCCTTAGTCTCATGACTTTTCTTATCCACTTGACCTCGATCAGCACCACCAATTCTTCCTTCCAGCCAACAGTAAATAACAACAGCAGGAAGTTTTACTCCATAAAGCATTAATAAGATATTTTAATGAAGGGTCGGGGTGGGGGGGGGGAACCAAACAAACCTTAGTCTTATGTTTCTATTCAAAGACACTCAAAACTATTTTTTTCCCTGCCCATCCCGTCTAACTGCAACTTTATTTGTGACCATGTAATAAAGGCTGGTTTAAAGTTTTTGTTTTTAAAAAAGTTTAAACCTTTTAAAAAAAGATTAAACAACCAGGCTAGCAAAAAGTACTCAATACATACTTTCCTTATATCAAACAAGCTAATATTTCAGTACAATGTAACTATACAGAATATATACGATACACATATATTCACAAAGCAAACACTATAGGCTCAGAACATATTTGAAAAAACATGATATTCACAGTGATTACAATAACTCTAAAAATGATTGTAACATTGAAACGGCACTTAGTATACAAAAAAGTCACAAAAATATATATATGTATGTAGTCACCAAGAACTATGGTTCCTGTAAAGTACGCATAGCCAGATACTAGTATATAAAATGTGAAGTTCTGACACTGTATACATTTTTAGGAAATAAAACAAATCCAAAACCATTTTTGTTACTGTTGAAAGTCAAACATGCCAAATAACTTAGCTATGGCCACTGTAACCAAGTAAAGCCAAACTTGAAGGAGATGATAACTGGATACAAAGCTGGTGAACTTGGGCCTGTCACAGGTAAGAAAGTTGTACTGGTTCTAGGAGAGGGTAGAAGACGTGACAACACCCTTCCACATGATTTAATTCACATTTCTTCCCCAGCATCACCTTCCCTCCCCCAAGGGTTTCACCAAATGCCGCTGCCCAAAAAGAATCATAATGCTGTAACTAGCAAGATAAAAGTTTCTCCCAAACTTCCTTGATGTTGGGCTATAGGTGAATTTTAAAGCATGCGTTCATTAGCTAAACAGGACCGCCAGTCACCCATCTGGAAGACTGTGGTACATACACGCCTTCCTCCTAGGCTGGTTGTACTAGAAAGTACTCCAGTTTTTGAATGGAGCCGGATTTATATGTTAGCTCTGTAAAATATTGAGCTACTATAGCAGCAAATACAAAATTACAGAAACTAAAACAATTTTATTTAAAAAGTGATTTCTGTTACATCAAAACAATTTTTTTTCCCTTCACGTCTGTTTCCTTGAATCAGACATTAATTTCTTCTATCACTGAATTATGGTCTATTGTCTCAAATCGACTTTTCATTATGCTGCTGTGGAAAAAGACAAGTTCAAATCCTGGAAAGTTTACATTTACTCTTAAAAATGGGAATACAGGATATTTAAAGTAAAAAGAAAAAGTCTGTTCTAAAAGTATCTCTCACAAATATATATATTTAAATATTAAAATAGGCTACCTAGGATTTTTATAAAATGGCTTTTGAAAAGATAGCAGAGGCACAAAGAAGCCATATACTATCTTCCAATTGGACATAAGGTGCCACAAGGGTGCCCTACAAAGAGGCAGGCAATCTCTATCTGATGCAACAGGAGGCACCAGCAACAACAGAAAAATCAAATATATTATTGGGACCTGGATTGAAATCAAATTTTACTCTACAAGAGACTGTTGTCTTTTTAAAAAATATCTTGAAATATAAGCATTAGAAGCCATCACTTTGTATAAGGAAGAAAATGAATAAAGTTTATGATCTCACTCCTGATCACCCGATGGCATTCATTTCAGGCACCTGAAAGATGAACAGCAGTGTAACTTTCAGTAATTTAATGGACCACTCTCAGTATGAGAGACTTTACATAGCATTTGTCAACTTGAAAACTGATAACTGAAATAAAAGAAAGCTCTTAGAGAAAACACAATTATAACCTAATCATAGAAAAGGTTCTTTCTAGAAAAAGCAGGTGTTTCTAGGAACTGCAAGAAAGGCTTCCCATCTTTAAATGAACACAGCATCCACTAATACCAAGGAAACAGCATGTGTTTAGAGGAGATGACGGCTCCTCTTAATGTAGGGAAGACTGATCCTTCCTCAGCAGACGATGTACTCTGGTAACCTGAACATTCGTTTACAGGGTGATTTTTAAACCTGTTTAATTGAATAATGAAATCTGGATATGGTTAGACCGGTATTTGGGAAAACGGGGACAATTTAATAAAAGTCACGACACTGTAGAACCTCAAACCATCAAGCAGCAATTTTATCAATAAATCATTACAATTGAGCCTGGGGCTTTAAGTTTACTCAGCAAAATCAGTCCGTTTAAAAGAGAAAGGCAATCATCAAAGAATCAGATTTTATAAACCAGGCACTTCAAACGGAAATTTAAAATTTTTAAGTCTTTAAAAAATTTTTTTTAAAGTTTTTTGTTTTCAACCAATGGTCTGAACCCTTAAATTCTTCGAAAACTATTATGTACATAAGAACCTTGGTATTAGTTGGAACTGGCCTGGCCCCTATGCAGAGGGAGCTATATAACCAAAGTAGCATATACACTTGAAGGCAGTCTCAATTTTTGGATACTGCCAAGTTGAGATGCCAGTAACATCATCTCCTGACATCTCTGCAGAGGCTATTTGTAAAGATATGGAACTATTACTTCTTTTTAATCATAAAAATATAATCACTATGATGTAGTAGAAATATCTGTGTCAAGTATGAAGTTAAAAAAAAAAAAAAGTACAACTATGATGTCACTAAGAGTCTTCATCCCATAATCTGACATAGGCTTAACTCCCCATTAATAAATCTCAACATATTTATAATCTAAAATTGAAATACCCATAGACTGTCTGCTCCTTAGTTGAACCTGGAAATTGGTTCAACTCTACTTCATTGTTAATGTGAACCATTATTGCTTTTGGCAAATTAGTCTTGCTGAGGACCTTCCAAATAAAAATACCCTATGGTCACCAACATGTTGTCAAGCAAAAATGACACTGAAAGATAAAAAAGGGTATAGACAAAATACGGAATAACTTAAATTTTGACGATTTGAGCCTCAAGCCTGGGAGGAGTATGCTTAGCTATAAATATTCCTCATAGACATGGTTAATGTAATTGAGCACCCCCCATTCTGTACCACTGATTTAGAAAAGAAAATCTTGTTTGTATACATGCTTCTCTCAGTAACTTTCAAAATCGAAATATATTATAAATAAATCATCTTATGTCAATAACTTACACTGAAAACCACATCTCCTACCTTTTAGCAACTTTGGGTCGCTTCCAGATGTGAACTTTACTAGTTTTTTCCCTCCCAATTAATATTAATAACTAGAAAACTATTCTCCCTCACTTAGTTGTATACTCCAGAGCTTCACATTTTCGAGACAGGTGAAAATAGAGTAAGTGCCACACAAAAGTTTTAATTCTCTTCATCAATTCCTTAAATCTCAAAGCCCTTTCGGGTACAATATTATAATTTTAGGATTGTTCATTCATCAAGTAATAAGAATAATTCTCTCCATGTGGTATACTAGTACCAACTGCCACTACCTTATAAAGTAATGTATTTCTCAGGGGCTACGAAGCTAAAAGAAACTAAACCATGATCTGAGAATCTTCAGAATAAAAGCCACTAAGCTAGATAACTCGTCTCTATTTAGATTATGAGAATAAAAAATAATAAGAGATAAAATAAAAGACCGAAAAGACTTAATACAACTTCCAAAGGCTCCCAGGGAACCATTTACACATCCGGAGAGACTGGCTCAGTAGTTAGAAGGTAACAGAGTTACCAATGATAAGTATATTAGATGTGCTGGCTGGTTCATTCCACTTGGTAACATATTTTAACAAAATGGAAGTTTTTTTTGTTTTGAAAACCGAAGGGCATGTGTCATAACATGGAACCAGAATGTAAGTTCTGTAAGCCAGAATGGTTGCTGAAATGTTAAAATGTAAGAATGAATGAAGCTATTTAAACACTTTAGTACACTTTTGCCTCACTGAAAGTGAGAACTTTAAAAACTGGCAATGTAACTAAATATATAACTAATTATTTAAAATGAAAATTAAGAAGGTTACTTTAAATTCAAAGTAAGAAACATCCATTTAAATACATTTGTGGGTGATAACTCCATCTGCATCCCTTTCTCGAACTTAAAATTCAAAAAAATGAAAACAAGTATTAATGCTTTCGTTTCTGAATTAGTACAATCACTGACATGCTAGATACTTCCACTGTTAGAATACACCCTTAAAAATGGAAAGAATGACTGCAGGAGCTGTAATATCCAGTATCACAGCAAACATCTTTGCTCATTTCTAAAGTATGTATATCATACCTATTTGGTAGCTTTAAAATGAAAAATAAATGCTTTTCTTATATAAAATACTTGGTTTAAAAAGGCAATTTATCTTGCATCCTAAAATTTAAGCCCTTTAACAAAGTTACCCCTCCTTGGGCCTTTCAGAAAGATAGCTATGCTAAAGTATTCTAAACTGGAATTTTTTTATGTTTAGTTATACTGGTAATTTCTAATGGATGAGATAATATAACTGGCTTTCATCTCTCTGCAATGTTTTCCATATATTCTGGTAAAAATTATACATCCAGGCATCCTTCTCTTAGAGGAATTTTAAATAAATCTAAATAGCACTATATACAATTATCCCTCATAGCTTAGTTTCCTAAAACAGATCCATAAGCTAAGTATCCCTAAACTGTGTATCAAGAAAAATGAAGAGCCTCACTGAAATAGAAAAAAAAGGACTCTGTTTATATCACATGTTAAGTACTAGTTACCTGTATTGATAAGATTTGGGGAGCAGACAACCAACAATCGGCATTTTCACAGTAGATTCAAATGTTTCATAAAACTTGGAAATCTGTATAATTTGTAATTACCAATGAAAATCTAAAGTTTCCATTTGGGAAAAAATAGCCAGTGATGGTGGTCAATCCTACATTCTGAGAACACAGAACACCTCAGAGCTGCCAAAACTGTGTAGGACTCTCTTAATACAAAATTCTCAGGACGGGGGTGTGCTAAAACACTTTCAACCCACAAATCTCCAAATGGTTCTGATATATTTCTTCTCATTAACCCTATTTCTTTCCTCCTTTTCTTCCTTCCTTCTTCTTTTTTAAAAAAATAACTCTTAGAACTGAGGGCAACAATGACTCCTGGTCATAATTTTACCGATTCTTTGTTTTCTCCATTAAGATTTTAAAATTAACTTTTGAGATTTATCTACTGGTAGGCATAACAGTTTCCAAAGGATCTATATTACATTAAAAATAAAAATTCCTGACCTTTCCAGCTGAGACACAGCAGTACCGCTCTTAGTATCACAGTCTGTTGAAGAAAGTAATTCAACCTATTAGTAAAGAAGCATAAATAATGGGAGGCCATCATAATCTGTGCATGTCGATTTTCCTGAAGGTACTATACCTATCTTTGGGAGCAAAGAGGAAACAACAGGTTCATGAGTGAGAAAAGGAGTTGGAAACAAGTTAAAAATAGCAGAATATTCAAACAGACAGAAAGAACATTAGCCTAAAAAAAATCTTCAATGAGTTCACTTTCCCTTCCTTTACATTTGTAGGGGATAAAAGAAGTTACAGAATTAGCCAATTAAAAAAAAAAATGAAACAAATCACTATAACTTAGAAAAATTTTATTATTAACGACTAGCACCCAGACAAAACTGAGATCTTGTGTTTTGAATAAGAAACTGTATTTTCTTTTTCTAACCTAATCAGGTGTTTTCATAATTATTAAACTTTGGGTATATACATAGAAAAAAAGAGTTACTCAAAAGATCATTGTTCATGGACTCATGAATATTTAGGATCAAGGTCAATGATGCTTTAATGGCACCAGGTAAAAACGTATATTCCAGTCTAGAGTATCATATATATTTCAACTATAAACCAGGAAGTTTCTTTCTTTTCTTTTCTTTTTTTAGCAGCAAGAGGTAATAGTCATTAATTTAAGGTTTTTAGTTTTTCTTTAGTCTTAACAATCCTTTTTTTCCCCAAATAGATTTGAGTCATAGATCATCATTTTATAGACTCTCCTCTACTTCTACATTATTGCTTACATTGCGTAAAAACTATCCTAACTGCTTTTAATATGACATTTGGCAATGTCTTAAAATATTTTGGAATAAGGACAATTTATCACTGTCATATGGGTATTTTGTAAACAATCGCAGTTGGGTTAAGAATATAGCCTTAACAGAGAATTCTTTATTTTGTCCAAAACAGCAGAATAAAAACATCCTCAACAATACACAAACCTATGTATAAAATATAGAACATCTCCAGTATATCTCCTTTTCATGGGATCATGCCAAGTATAGGCAAGAGAAAACTGATTTAGGCAATGACCCAATTAGCCAGGCATTAACATTCAAAGACCAGGTAAACAGTAATTTTATCCAGAAAAGCAGTATGAAAGAGTCCCTATGAAGCCGATTCACACACTATATTCTCTGTTCCTGGTCATTTCACGCACAAGTTGACTATCCTTAACCATGGTTCTTCCCCTTCTTTCACAGAAGAAAGATTATTTGGAGGAGTGGTACTACAAAGGTACAGGGAATACCTATCCCAATACCAAATTTTCACCATGAAAAATTATAGTGACAAAGCTTAAAAAAAAAAAAAACACAAAACACATGGGATTTCAGAAGTATATACCCTAATAATTTTTAAGAAAGCTCACCATAAATACTTCCAAAAACAACAGGCTTTACAAAAGACTGTACAATATCCTGTGTATAGGAGTAAACATCTATTCAGGCCATCTGCCAGATTCGTTCTGTAATATGTCTCTGGTGTACGCTTTCACTTCAGGAAGGTCAATGATCACCGGATTCCTTCTTGACCTAGTGATCTGTTGTTAGCCTACTCCTGATAATGGAAGAGGAAACTGATACCAGTTTTAAGTCAGCTGGTTCTCCTTAAGTCTCAAGGTTTCTATTATATTTCAACACCATGTTACTGTGCACTTACAGAAGCAATCTCTCAGTCATGAAAAATAAAACATCAGTTGCAGAACTTACAAAGTAAAAAGGGAAATTCTTTCCCAAACCCTTTTTTGCTTAAAAAGTTAAATTAAATTCAAATGTACAAGACCAAGCACAGGCACTTTCCAAAAATCAAAAATGAAGCCAAACCATGAAATTACTCAATAGTTACAGAAGACAGCTCTGATTTTGGGGGGTCCTCTCTGGTTGCCTCGGCACAAGCACTGGTCTTTGGCTGCCCTGGCATTTCCTCCTCTTTTTCTGTCAGCCCACCAAGAGACCCCAAGGGAAAAGTGCTTTCACAATTCTGGGTCGAGGAGACCTGTGAAATTACAGGCATCTGGACAGAGGAGTTGTTTTCAAAACTGTGTTCTCCAAGATCATACTGAACAAGGGTCTCTTCTTGCTCCTGGTTTAAGTAGTCCGGTACTAGGAAATCACTAGGTAAGAGGCAAAGGATGAAACAGGGAGTTAATTTTCAAGCCAGTAATAAATAAGACACAATACAAAGACCTGATTTGTAAAACAAGATTGGGATTTTTCATTTCACTAATTTTTGAATGAAGATTAGAACTCAGGAATTTTCAACTTCTAAACTTTCCTAAATATATGAACCAAAACCATCCATTAGAACCAAAGTATACCAACTCTCCCTACCACCAAGAGAGATAAGATTATGACCTTCAGTGTCACTCTGGACACCTAAACAGCCTTGCTTGTTCTATGTAGAAGAGTTTTTGTATACAAAACAGACGGAAATAGCATGTTCATTTAAACAAAGATCATTTGAATAACTTATGCGTAACCTTTCTTGGATTATACACTAATTATAAGGTATATAAACCTAGCTTTTTATTACTTCCTGGATATAAATTAGTTAAGAAATTAAATCCTCAGGCATAAGTGACCTTTTATATAATCTACTATATAGAGAAATGTAAAAAACTACTTAGATGCTTGATTTAAATCTTTACAGTTAAACAAAAAAAAAATTCATTACACTTTATAATGTCAATAACTAATATACTTAAGATTATTTTATAATTTGTCCACTATTAATTTAAAAAACTGAAGTCTGCTCATCTGCAAAGCAATTTAAGATGTCCTATGTTAATATTTTCTGAAAAGTGGTCAGGTGTTAAACAAGAGTAGAGGATAGAGGGCTCAGTACAGGGAAGATACAGAAAACAGGCGTGGTTAACTGGGACACTATTTTAGTCCGGAACAAAGTTTGTTATGTCATGTATAATCTAGGTTTAGTGATATGATAACCAGACACCCAGAGTTAGAAATGATTACATTAAACAAAATGTCTGGCTTGAAGAGAAAACAAAATCTATGCAGGAATAATTTACTGAAAAATACGATTTAAAAAATGAAGGCAGTTAAAAATTTAAGATTTAATTTTATAAGAAACTAAGAATTCCTACAGATGTACAATTCTGATAAAGTATTAAAAATAGACAACAGAATTTTATATCTAGAGGAGACCTTAGAAATCATCTTTAAAGCTTACATTTTATCTTTCTCTACGTTTCAAGCTTCTTCATCTGTAAAGTGACGTGTTAAATCATAACACTAGTTAGTGGCAGAGCTAGAACTAGAACCTGATCCTTGGATACCCAATAAATCAGAAAGGTAACTCTATTATAAGTTTTTTATATTAAAAGCATGGAGCTCTAAACTGAAATAAAAAAAGGAAAACTTCATTTGATGTAAATTATCATATCCATTAGTTCTACACCATAGTTGGTGTAGAATTTTCTCTCTTATTATTTAAAGAAAAAAGAGAGAAGTGGTCAAGAATTTAATTAACACCCAAAGAGTCTGAAGTAATCCACTATCACTAAATATCACCTGACACGGTAAATTCTCCAATAAGGTCTATTTTAAATGTACTACAGAGTTACTTTAACCTTGTATTTAAAACAACAACAACAAAAACCCACAAAAAAACCAAAACAAGCTGATAAGCAGTCTACTTCTGTAGGAAAAGATTTCTAATGCCAACTATAAATGTATTTAAAATTGTTTATACTTAGAAGGATCAGCAAAATTGGATCAGATCAGGAGATCAGAGCATTATTGGATAGTGGGAATTTAAAAGGCATGTGACTGATTAGCTGGCAACCTGATAAAAAAACACAGCAGGCTGCCCTAAAAGCAGGAAAAGAGAGTTTAGAAAGCAGTTTTCCTGGTTCGGTTTTTGTTGTGCACCTCACCTGCTCTGGAAGTAGTTTGCTAGCTCTGACGCTTCATGGTTCAGACTCCTCAGGTGCACGATTAAATTTCCAGAGTTGGTGAACATGGCGCCACATGTTTTGCACTCGTAAATCCGAGGCTTGCGGATAATGTGCCGGGAAACCCTCATGTGGTGTTTATATTCCCCGAAGGAAGTGAAAGTGGCACTACATATCTGGCACCGGAAACAGCGTTTACCTTCATGCTTTAGGCGATGCATCTTTAGCGAGTAAGCCCTGGTGAACTTTTTCCCACAGCGGTCACACTGAAATGGTTTAATTCCTATAAAATAAAGCAAAACAAAATATTATCTAAAAACAAAATAAGTGGAAATGTCATAAACCTCACAGACTTCTGAACTGTAATTCTGTAGCAAGAGATAATCTGAAAAGACAAAAATCATCAGCAAAAATGAGTTCCAAACTCAGTATCTCAGAAAAGGTACAGAACATCTAAGAAGTCACTAGTGCTTGAAAAAAGAAAGCGAGAAAGAAAGGCACCATGGGGTGGGGGTAATTGAGGTAATATATACTCCAATGGATTTTTGAATGCTTCCAAATCTTGTATTTTATAGACTTCAAAACACAATTTAACCAGAGTATTTAAGCAGAGCCCAAATCTTCACAAAAGATTACTTCATTTCATTAAAGTAGTGAGGTTTATATTGAGAAGATGTGAAAATGATCAGTACCTACTCTTCATTTCCTATCTCAAGAGAAAAATGAGAAGAAAAAAGGGAAATTCTAACATCTCTGAACATAATTAGTGATTACAACAGAACTACTACTTGATTGAGTTTTTGGGTATTTAATGTAATAGTGATGGAAAAAATATGTAGAAATTAATATATGAAATATAAAGTATATTAATGGTCCCTTCCAATTCATTATCACAGTTTTAGCAAATAGAATTTCAAAACCCTTCAAAACATCATCCATTGATTCAACAAAGTCATAGGGAATTAGTGTTAGCACAGGGAGTGTTAGACCTATCTAAGTGAGATAGTTATACAGCTGAGAATAGCGTAGCGGTAAAGATTTCTTATTAGAGGTCAGTGTTCTATCTGCAAGAATTTTACTGCCTTTACGTGAACACTTAACTTAAATTTCAAATATGTTTTACACATCATTTATCCAAAATCTCTTTTACACCAAAAAAATACTACAAGGCTGACTAATCAGGGCACAGAGAAATTTAGGATTGTAGAATTAAAATTAAATTATTGTTATTAATTTTTAAAAACTTTTTATTTGGAAATAATTATAAATTTAGAGAAGTTACAAGAATAGTACAAAGAACACCAATATACACCCTGTTAACCCCATTTGCTTTACTGTATGTATTTGTGCTTTTCTCCCTCACATATATACACACATGCATCTGATATCCTTTTCATTTACATATTACACCCAACCCATGTCTTAATGAGAATACTGATGCCTGTAAGCAAATACATTTCTGACACTGCACCAATTCAGCAATGGACCTATGTTTATCTGTTCTCACTAGACTTCCCAGAGATAAAACTTTTTTCTAACTCAAAAGCATCTGTTTACTGTTTTTAACTGAAATTTCAAAATAAAATGTTTTAGAGTGCTCATTTATGCCACAGTAGGGATGATGACATTACCTGAGTGGATGAGCATGTGCTGTTTCAGGTTCTGAATACGGGTGAATCGCACCCCACATGTTGGACACTGAAAAGGTCTATCTGGACCATTTGGACTTGGCCGTTCTGTGCTGCTGGTGGAAGGAGCAATGTAGAGTTGGTAGGGATACTGAACATTTTCCAATCTAAAAAACAGACCAAAGAAGGCAACCAGGCTCTGATTTTTAAGTTCAATAAACATTTCTGCACAACTTTAAATCAACAACAACAACAAAAAAACACTTTAAGACTTTTTGAAGCAGTTTAAAAGTTAGATTACAAGTTTCATTTATAACAAAAGGAGAAACAATGTTATCGTCCAGAATGTCAAGTATCTTAAGTTAAGCAAGGTCGTATGACCAAGCACATACCAGAAACGATTTTACTTTAGGTAGCCTTAATCTCTCTACTACTTTCCTTCCTACTACTGCTTTAATTCAGGCCCTCATCAATATACGGCTGAATTAATAACTCCTTCTCTTTAGCCCCACACCCCTTTAACCCATCCTCACTGTTTCACAGTGATCTCTCTGATTAAATCAGTCCCCTGATAAAAATCCTGCGATGGTTCACTGTCATCTTCAGAGTGAAGGCAGACGAGACTCCACATGATCTGGGTCTGTGTACTCTTCCAGCCTCATTTCTTGTCATACTCCCCAGACATACCCATACCAAGCAGTTCCTCCTTAACAGTTCTCTCTCAGTGCTGTGCTTTCATATATTTAACTTCCTTCACGTGCCTAGATAACACACCCAGCCATTTTATGAAATGTACCCAAGAAGTTACCTCCTCCTCCCGAAAGCCTTCTTTGATTCATCAATGGTTTAGGCAGGTACCCTCCTATGCAGAGCAACCGACCCCTCTGCAGATGACTCATGATTATCTGCTTACTTGTCTGTCTTTAACCGCTTCCCCTCCCCCAAAGTTGGCTTGATCTCTTTGAGGGTAAAGGGTTATTACGTTTCATCTCAATATGCCCACCACTCAGCACAGTATCATAGAACAGACCTCATTAACGTTTGAAATTAAGGAATCTAGGCATATTTCCATTTGTTTACACCTTCATTAACATATTCAAATGACTCTGGTTCATAACCTGCTGTATCAGGTTTAGCTATTCAAGAACAATAAACCTTGTTTGAGTTCTTTGAATCCTTCAAGTTTTCAACAAATATACTTTTTAAGTCTGTCCCGGACTCTAAGAGGAGGAGTTAATTCAGTGAAGTCTATATTCAGCGGTCAGAGACAGACAATAAACACTCGAGAAAATGATCAGAACAGAGAATTAAAACAGAAGTGATCAGAGTGATCGGTGTTTTACTTTAGACTGGTGGTCAGGAAAATCTTCCTTGAGAACTGACACTTAAGACAGTGATCTGAAGATTCAGGAAAGAGTGAGCAATGTGGAAATTAGGGGAGAAAGCATTTCAGGCAGAGTAAAGGCCCTAAAATGGCAGACAGGCCCCAAAGCCAGAACAAATATGGACTAGAAATATTCTAGGAACTGAAAGAAGGTCAGTGTGGCTGGATATGGTATGCAAGGAGGAGTATGGTCTGAAGGAAGTCCTATCAGGTAGGCCTGTAAAGGCATAGTGAGGAGTTTAGATTTTAAGTGTGAATCTACTGGGGAATTTTAAGAATCTGCTACTTAGAACAGCAACATAATCTGACTTAGTTTAAAAAACAAAATCATTCTGGCTGCTACATGGAGAATGACTGGAGTAAGGGAGAATGAAATCAGGGGCCAGTTGAAGGTTACTGTAGTGAAGGCAAAAGATGGTGGTGACCTGGGCTGGGGTGGCAGTAGCAGAGCTGGAGGAGAAGTGGACTGAGAAGTATATTTTGGATGCAGAGCTGACAGGACTTGCTTAAAGATTAAATATGGTGGTGGGAGGTGAGGGAAAGAAGGATCAAGTATAATTCCCAGAGGCAATGCTTGGGAAACTGGGGGGATGATGGTGCTGTTCACCGAGACAGGAGGACTGGAGAAGCAGGTCTGAGGGGAGGGAAAGGCTAGAGTCTGTCTTGGCCTTATATTAAGTCTTGGCCCTGCTATGTCTATGTGAAAATTATCAAGCAGGAAGGGTCAATGTGAAGATAATGACTTGGGAGCCATGAGTATATAGATAAGGGTTTGATCAACTTTTTTGGTAGCAGGTCAGATGTAATTATTTTTGGCTTTGCACACCACATGATCTGTTTCAACCATTCAACTCTGCCATCCACAGACAATATGTAAACAAATGAGCATGTCTGTGTTCCAATCAAACTTGATTTACAAATAAAGGTGGTGGCTGGAATTGGCCTGTGGTCCACAGCCTGCCAACCCCTAATATAGATACTATTTAAAGCAACTGGGCTGGGAAGTCTTGGAAATGCCAAAAAAAACCCCTTGTACTATAAGTTGTCTAATTTATGTGGCTACCTGATGACTAAAAAATATACTAAAGGGAGGTCGCAATAAACTTTTCTATAACTCCCAGATAGAATGCTTGGGTTTAGAGTTACAAGCACAGCCCTTACAAGAAAACTACGTACTATGTCAGTACTAACCGATCATCATCGTCTGCGTGAGCACTGGTGCTAGAAGTGCTCTGCAGTGTAGGTAACCCTTCAGTGACGCCTTCATCTACTGAACCTGTGAATAAAAAAGACAGCTGTCAACACTTTGGTGTAATAAATAAAGCCAAGATATAAATTGTAAGCTGTGTCTCCAAGCCTCTGAACAGATTATCTAATGTATATACCCTGAATTACCGGTCAGAAGTAGTAGTGTTCTGTAACTTTTTAACTTTTGTTTAATTTTTACATTTTATTTTATTATTTGGCTGCATCGGGTCTTAGTTGCGGCACACGGGGTCTTCGTTGTGACGTGTGGGATCTTTTGTTGTGGTGCACGGACTCAGTAGTTGTGGCACGTGGGCTTAGTTGCCCGGCAGCAAGTGGGATCTGGATTGAACACACATCCCCTGCATTGGAAGGCGGATTCTTAACCACTGGACCACCAGGTTAAGTCCCTACTTTTAATTAAACGTTTATGTGATTTCAAACAATCACATGTGAAACAACAGCCTTATATCACTACTTAAATTCTTTCAAGAGTATTTCTTTGATATAAATTTTAGAAAGTAGAGCAATTCAAATGTAAACTAAACAAAAATTCACATAAAATTAAGTAATGTTGTAACAATCATTTAAGGAAGCACTAACAAGTTTTGTTTTTTAAAACTTATTTTATTGTGACATACAACTTACTTGTTGTACACACAACTTCCACATAGAATGAGAAAGACAGCTGTAAGGTGAACATCTGTGAAACCTCCTCACAACCCCCTAAAACCCTGGCAGCATCCTCAAAGTTCCCATTACCCTTCTCTGATCACAAACCCCTCCTTCCAGGAGGCAACCATCAGCATCCTCTTTCATGGTTATCATTTTTTTCCTTTTCTTCTTATCCTGCTTCCTTTTATTTATTTTTTATTTCCATTTGTTTTTGGCTGTGCTGTTCCACTTGCTGGATCTTCCCCCAACCAGGGACCGAACCCGCGCCCTCGGCAGTGAAAGCACAGAGTCCTAACCACTGGACTGCCAGGAAATCCCCTCCCCCTTCCTTTTAATAAGTAATTTTACCTCAAATGCATATTTCCATAAACTAGGGGTTGTTTTATGCTACAACACAGCTGAACACCATCGAGGGCTGCTTTCACTCCAGTGGCAGAGTGGAGCAAATGAGCTTGGGACAGAAGTCAAGTCTAAAATATTTACTATCACGCCCTCACCACGAAGAGTACACAAGAGTACATACCATTTAATGGTGTCTGGTTTAAACTTTACATAAAATGAGTCACACTGTATGTATTCTTATGTCTTGCTTCTTTCCTTCAATATTGTGGACTTATCCATGTTGTTACATGTAAATGAAGTTAGATATTATTCATCATCTATCCAATTCACTCTTTTTTTTTTTTTTTTTTGCGGTACACAGGCCTCTCACTGTTGTGGCCCCTCCCGCTGCGGAGCACAGGCTCTGGACGCGCAGGCTCCGCGGCATGTGGGATCCTGCCGGACCGGGGCACGAACCCGCGTCCCCTGCATCAGCAGGCAGACTCTCAAGCACTGTGCCACCAGGGAAGCCCTATCCAATTCACTCTTGATGGGCAGTTTCAGGCTACTATGAGCAACACTGCTGGGAATATTCTTTTTTGTTGTTGTTGTTCCCGACCAGGGATTGAGAACACATGCCCCCTGCAGTGGAAGCGCAGAGCCCTAACCACTGGACCGCTAGGGAATTCCCTGCTGTGCATATATTCAAGTAACAATGCACATACACATGCTTTTTTTTCTAGGGTATCTATATCAGGAATGGACTTGCTTGGTCATAGAATATGTATTTTTTTAACTTCATGTATTTATTGAACCCCTCTTCTGTGACATGCCTGTTCAAGTCTTGCTATTGAGTTGTCCTTTTTATCATGAGTTCTTTTCATGTTTCGGATACAAAATCTTTGTAGGTAAAAGATGTTACAAATATTTTCCCCTCTTACATGGCTTGTCTTTTTACATTTTCTTTTGATGACCAAAAAATTTATATTTCAATTGAATTGATCAGTCTTTTTCTTTATGGTTATGGCTTTCAGAGCTTGTTTTTAAAAATCCTTCCCTATCTCAAATTACCTTATGAAAGATTTAGGTTTTGCCCTTGGCACTTGGGTCTTTTCTTTAACACACCTGGAGTTGATTTTGTGATGGAACACAGTTACTGGAAAGTCTGTCTTTTCTCCTCTGCTCTGCAGTGCTCTAAAAGCATGGGTCTGTTTCTGGGTTCTCTACTAGTTCCCTCTGCTTGTCTGTACTTGCATGAATGCCACACTTTAGTTACTGTAGCTTTATAATAAATCTTGATTTGAGGTGGATCAAATCCTCTCACCTTGTTCATTTGCTCCCTGAACATCTTGGCTATTCCTGGCCCTTCGCATTTTTTACATTTTAGAATCAACCTGTTGAATATAAACGATAATAATCATTCCATTTCCCCCTTTCTATTAGTTTGGAAATTACAGTCTTTTCCTATTCACTTTACCGGTTGCTTTGGAAATTAGACACATACTTAACCAAGTCTAAAAACTTTTCCTTCCTCATGGACAACAGAAGGATCTTACAACATTTTAACTTCATTTCCCATACACACCCATTCTTCAATTTACAAATTATTGCCTGACGTTTTACTTCTTTGTTTTGATAAAGCCCCTACTCTTTCATATAAGCAATGTTTGTCCACATCTGTTCACATGTTTACCTTTCTTTGCTCTTCATTCTCTTGTGTATATTAAAGCTTCCATCTGTGTTCATTTCACTTCTACCTGTAGTCTATCCTTAAACATTTCTTAAATGATGATATACTGCTGAATTCTGTTTTTCTTTGAGAATGTCTTATCTCCATTCTTGAAAGATATTTTCACTGTGTGTAGACATCTGGATTGGTAGTTATTTCCTTCAGCATATTGAGGATATCATTTCACTGGTTTCTAACATTATTTAAAAGTCAGATATTCTTCTGAAGGTAATCTGTCATTAATTTTTTTTTCCCGGAATTTTCTCTATAATGTGTCTAGGTTCATGTTTCTTTTCATCTTTTCCCAGTTTGGAATTTGCTGGCCTCTTATCTATGGACTGTTGTCTTTCGTAGATTCTGGAAAATTCTCAGCCATTCTCTCCTCTCCTTTTAGGACTTCCATCATACCTATGTTTGTACCATCCATAACCCTTATCCTCTTTTACACCTATAGTCTCTACCACTGTCTGTGTGATGGTTAATGTATGTGTCAATGTACTGGGCTAAGGGGTGACCAGAGGGCTGGTAAAATATAATTTCTGGGTGTGTCTGTGAGGGTGTTTCCAGAGAAATTAGCATTTAAATTGGTAGACTTTGTAAGGAAGATCATCTTCACCAATTGCAGGTGGGTATCATCCAGTCTGGTGAGGGCCTGAACAGAACAAAAAGGTGAAAGAAGGGCAAATTTGCTCTCTGCTTGAGCTGGGACATCCATCTTCTCCTGCTCTTGAACATCAGCACTTCTGGTTCTTGGGCCTTTGGACTTGGACTGGGATTTTGGACACTAAGAGGCCAGCAGTTCCCCGGCCTTCGGATTTGGGCTGGAACCACACAACCGACTTTCCTGGACTCCACCTGGCAGACAGCAGATTATGGAATTTCTAACCCTCCAAAATCATGTGAGTGAATCCCTCTGAATAAACCTCCTTCTGTATATCTATATATATGTCCTACTGGTTCTGTTTCTCTGGAGAACCCTAATAGTTTCTCTCTCTGTGCAGCACTCAGGTGATTTCTTCTAATTTATCTTCTGATTCACCAATTCTCTCTTCTGCTGAAATCCCATCTGCTGCCAAAATGTTTGATATCCATGTTTCGTGCGTGCTCTGGTTGTTCTGACAGTGATTACTGCCCTTGAAAATGATTTGCAGGGGACTGATTTGCTAAGGGGAGGATGAACATACCCTCTTCCAGAGAAGCTTTCTGTTCGCCTCTGCCAGGTTCCTAGAGGGCAGGCCCTGTCTAACCCAATTCACTGTTTGAGATTCACTGGCCTACCCATGCAAGGAGTAAGTAGGATGTAAACCTGCAGGAGGCTGGTCTGTGCCCACCACTTCTCAGGGATGTGTTTTTCCCCCTTTTCCCTTTTCATCTCTTAGTCGGCCCACTGCCAAGGCAGCTGTTTCTAGAGTCCCCTGTGGAGTCTGGAGGAAGGGGAGCAGGTTGAGTCCTAGTGCTTAATGCGTGGGGCAACTTCTTTAAGACTTCACAGCTTTCATATGCTCTGGGTCGACCTCTGTTTCCCTCACTCTTCGACTTGATGAACCAAAGGCCTCTTGTGTTTTGGCAAATGTCTTACATAAAAACTGGTTTTAGTGCTCTGACATGTACTTACTTCTCTGCGTCAGACTCCCCCCTAAGATTAACCTGGCAGTTCCCTAACCATCTTTTCAAATACTTTAAAAGGTGACTTAAAACAAAAAGATCACGTTGTTTTCAGTGGGAGAGTAGATCCAACCAGCCTCGCCTGTTCTCATCAGGTACTGAACCTGGCCAATGTCTTTACGGCGTGCGAATAAGCTGTGCTGCCCCAAGTGAACAAACGAGCCTCTGCGGCTGTGCAGTCCTTACGGCCAGCACTCTTCTGGTTGCAGTATTTTAATGAAAGCTAAAAGGTACTAACTGTAACAGTTGTACAACACCATATACATGTGAACATTTAATAAATATCATCTGTTAACAGATACACAGGATGAAACTTCCTCCCAGTGAAAATTTTGAATCCGATACTTCAGTTTTCCCCCTTGGAACACTTGAATTTGCTGACATTAGGAACTGATTACATTTTCTACTTAAGTAAAATTTTCCAAAAAACTAACCGAATCCCTTTTAAGGCATCCAAGCTTACTTCATTAAATAATTTGCACTAGAAAATTTGTGACAGTTGTATTTTGCCTTGACTTCTTAAATAAATAATACTAAATATAATTCTTTTCTTGTTTCTTGATGACTCACGGTAATCATCAAGAACACCAATTGTTATACTGTGTTCTAATACACTGATAGAGTTTTGTTTTTTTTTTTGC